TGGGAAAACCGGTAGTAGCGGCTATGGGAGGCTCCGCCCACCTGCATGGACGTCATCACATCCCGTTTTTGACACTCTGTGCATGCACAGAAGGTCCTTTGCATGCGCTCACATTTGCGAACTGGTAGCGAAAGTAAGTGAGTACCACTCCTGCAGTGAAGGGAGGAAAAGGTGGAACTTAGGTATTTTGGCACGCGATTCTCAGTTCTGGCTATGCATTACTGCAATACACTTGGCTCCTAATAAAATTATACCTTTCTCAATAAATGAGCCAAAGATCATTTCGATTTGGAGGTTTAAGTGCTGGCGGGTCAGACACTGGCATTAGTTTATGGTTCAATTTACTAGCGCAGATCTAGTAAATCGATTGATTCTATAACCAGCTTAAATGTGCTGCGTGAGCAGATCAGTGCCGTGTGCCGGATTCTGTAAAGTTTGGGAAAAAAAGCTGCTCCTATTGCATTATTTCTCCGGATTCTACCGCAGATAGTTGCAAAGAAGGTATGTGTTGTCTGTTCCAGGCTACAAAAGGTTGGTTTGAACCACACCCTGGGAACTTTTGATCTGTTGACTTGCAAAAGGTAGCTGCTCTGATAGAAAATCATTTGTGCAACACCCAGTAGGGCCAGAGGCTTTCTGGATTCTGCGTTCTAAGTGTAATGGAGAACATTTGCCAGGACCACAGGCCTTCTAGATTGTAAGGTGAGTGGAAAGAGAAGTCAGGGGGAACCAGAGAAGCTAATTAGGAAGAGCTGTAGAGTAATAAAATTGAATAATTTTGATTATTGCTCATCTTCATTGGTTCGTAAATGCTTTGTAATTGTTAGGTTGTTTATCCAATAACTCCCACTTCCTGAAATAGTTAAGCCGAAGAGATGCGAGCCATTCAAGGTCATTCAACGGGTTTCCAAAATGAGCACAGATTTTGAGCCGGAGGCACCTCAGATGGCAACCTCCCTCCCCCCACACACACCACTCTATATTTAATTGAGTTTTGTGCTGAAACAGGGTCACCGTCTCTTTCTACCAGAGCCTCTGGTGCCCCGGAATGGCTGCTTAACAGATGCTTGTGTAAAAGCGATGTTCGATGTTTCCAAAGACAGAAAGAATGATTCAATTGCCAGGCCTGCATACAGCTACTAAAAGGGTCCTGAAGGGAGGCTCTATTTTTTTTTTTTTAGAATAACAGAGTTGGAAGGGACCTTGGAGGTCTTCTAGTCCTACCCACTGCCCAGGCAGGAAACCCTACACCACTTCAGACAAATGGTTATCCAACAACTTCTTAGGAAACTCCAGTATTGGAGCATTCACAACTTCTGGAGGCAAGTTGTTCCACTGGTTAATTGTTCTAACTGTCAGGAAATTTCTTCTTATTTCTAGGTTGCTTCTCTCCTTGATTAGTTTCCACCCATTGCTTCTTATCCTGCCTTCAGGTGCTTTGGAGAATAGCTTGACTCCCTTTTCTTTGTGGCAGCCCCTGAGATATTGGAACACTGCTATCATATTTCCCTAGTCCTTCTTTTCATCAGACTAGATATACCCAACTCCTGCAACCATTCTTCATATATTTTAGCATGCAATCCCCTAATCATCTTTGCTGCTCTTCTCTGCACTCTTTCTAAAGTCTCCACATCTTTTTTACATCATGGCAACCAAAACTGGATGCAGTATTCCAAGTGTGGCCTTACCAAGGCCTTATAAAGTGGTATTAACACTTCACGTGATCTTGATTCTATCCCTCTGTTAATGCAGCCTAGAACTGTGTTGGCTTTTTTGGCAGCTGCTGCACACGGCTGGCTCATATTTAAATGGTTATTAGGCAATTAGGTCAGGGAAATCAGAACGTGGCAAAATATTGCAGAATTCCATCATCATGTACCTTTAAACAGGAGCCAGTCAGCAGACAGATGCTGCCTATACCCCAGCTCCTAAATGCTCCTGTTGTGGCCAGTCAGCCACCAGCCTCTCCAGCAGCTGAATCAGAGTAGGAGGAGATGTGGGAGTCAGGATCAGCAGCAAGGCAACCTGAGAGTTCCACTGGGGAAGAGGGAATGGGGCTGACACACAGACAGAGAGCCTGGGCTGTCCATCAGCCTTCAGATGGAGAGTCAACAGCTCCCAGGTCTGGAGGTGACTGATGAGGAAGAGGAGGAACAGCTGGGTCCAGTGCCTGACACACGGCTGTGCAGAAGGCAGAGGAGAGAAGAGCAGTGGAAATCCATGGGCCGATCCTTGGGAAGGAAGACCCACTTCTGCTAGCAAGGCCCCACCCTAGCTCTGGGGATAAAAGAGCCCTCATAGCGCCGCAGACTAAAGCACTGTTATTAACATCAGCTGCCTGCAATTACTGCAAGTTCAAATCTCACCAGGCTCAAGGTTGACTCAGCCTTCCATCCTTTCTAAGGTAGGTAAAATGAGGACCCAGATTGTGGGGGCAATAAGCTGACTTTGTATAAAAATATACAAAAGGATGAAGGCTTAACGCATTGTAAGCTGCCCTGAGTCTCCAGAGAAGGGCGGCATATAAATCAAGGTTTTTTAAAAAAGACAGGGGGTGGAGATGAATAGACAACTATCCATCTTCTAGATGGGCAGACTTGTTGGTCTGTGTTGAAAGAAACTTTTTGCCGGCGTGGCTGGCACTCCTGATAAAGGCATCTTTTGAGTTCACTTCAGAGGGTTTGTCATGTTTGGGAAACAGCTCCTTCCAAATCCTTTTCTGAGAACACACACAGCCTGATTCTTTGAAACTGATTTGTAAAATGCCATACTGTGCACACATACAGCATGGTCTCATAGTTGGCCTCTCTCAACCCAACTCAACATAGCCTTCTGGCTGGGTCCCTGTCCTTAACTTAGAACAGGACTAAAGATGGCATTGCCTGGAGTAGAGAAAGATATTTCTCACTCGAACCCTTTAACCACACTACTAGAGGCAGCTACAGTTTATTATTGCTCTGAAATGCTGGAATGCAAGCTTAACCTTTTTAGCTTCTGTTATCAGCTCCTCCCTTTGGTTTCCTTGGAAAAAGGTCAGGATCACAAGGTCCATTTTTGTTCAGGGTCACTTCCTCTTCTCATTGAGAAGGGAGGGTGAGCCGTTCAATTAGGAATAAAACCAATAAAAGTTGGGCAGTAAGCCAAATCCTCAAAAGCCTTTAAACCTGCATGGGAGTATATGGTTCTTTCTCACCTAGGAGATAAAAAGCTGCACAGCACTGAAGAGGCTGAGAAGCCAGGAAACTTACCTGTGACCATCTCCATGTTGTCCTTCCTGCATTCTCTATGTGACGTTTTCTTCTGTTTTCTCTATCAACCAACCAGTTAAATTGTGATGTGGAAAATCCTGATTTCAGTACAATTTTGGGGAATCTAGGTAAAGGTAAAAGTAACGGTTCCCCTCGCACATATGTACTAGTCCTTCCTGACTCTAGGGGGCAGTGCTCATCTCCATTTCAAAGCTGAAGAGCCAGTGCTGCCCGAAGACGTCTCCTTGCTCATTTGGCCGGCATGACTCAATGCCGAAGGTGCACGGAATGTTGTTACCTTCCCACCAAAGATAGTCCCTATTTTTCTACTTGAATTTTTTACATGCTTTCGAACTGCTAGGTTGGGAAGCTGGGTTAGAAGCTGGGACAAGTAACAGGAGCAACACTCCGTTACGTGGCAGTAGGGATTTGAACCGCTGAAGTGCCGACCTTTCTGTTCGACAACGTGTCCCCTTTTGGGGAATCTAGATAGTATCTAATATCCCAAATGAAAATTATACGGCCACATGATCATTTCAAAGCGTGGACCAAAGCAAGTGGAATCTCTTCCATGTACGAAGCCAAGGAATTACTTCATTCCTTCCTACAGAAGGGCCCTTGGTGCTCTGTGAACTTGGTTGATTTCTTGCAGATGTTTCATTACCCAAATTAGGTAACATCCTCAGTGCTAGTAAGCAATAGCAATAGCACTTAGATTTATATACCGCTTCACAGTCCTTTACAGCCCTCTCTAAGCAGTTTACAAAGTCAGCCTATTGCCCTCCAAAATCTGGGTTCTCATTTTACCAACCTCAGAAGGATGGAAGGCTGAGTCAACCTTGAGACTGGTGAGATTCGAACTGCCAAACTGCTGGCAGCTGGTGATCAGTAGAAGTAGCCTGCAGTACTGCAATCTAACCACTGTGTCACCACGGTTCATAAGGAGTGGAGTTTGCTATCAGTTTATATCGTAGTGACTTGTCCTGTCAGTGTTGATGGGCGTGGTCTCAGAAGTTATTTATTCAGGCTGTTTACGCTTGGCTTGTTTTGCAATTTCTTGATTGGGGTATTGTTTATTTGATTGTTGGTCTGACATTAATCTTGGAGTTAACCTATGCTCGTAGGGGTGCTGATTGCTGGTGGATGTTTTGGTCTTTTTATTCCCTTTTTGGTCTGTTGATCGTCTCTTTGTTTTGGCTTGTTGATACAACATACTTTTGCATAGTATGTAGTATCAAAAAAACTCAGAAAACACCAAGGACCATGTCAGGGTTCCAAGTAACACCCCCAATGAAAGAAGACTCCGAGGCTTGAAATTCCTCAAAGTTCCATTTTATTAGAGATGTCATATTGGCACATCTGGGAAAATCCGAATCTGAAAGCTTCCAGGTTTTCCCCACCCAAAAGAAAATCGAAGTCCTTGCCCAGCACCCACATGTCCATCACATGGTCTAATCAAAGCAGTGTCCCAACTGGAGATGCTTCCCAGTTCCAGCCCTCCAGGTGCAGGGCAGGATGTCCTTGACTCTCTGAGAAAGGAATGTTATTATGACTGTATATCACCCTGGCTCCATACAATCCCCCCCCTCCCAGTTTCCCACAGTAGTAAATGTGGCAGGCCTGAAGGCCCAATGCAAAAGGTGGCTCCCAGGCCTGACAGACCATTCGTTTTAACCCTGAGCTACAAATATTCTCCTTTATTGATTCCTACAGAAACTCTGGCATCCTTTCCTCCCGTTTCTAGTTCTGCAGATGGCTGATTTTGCACGTTGTTCGCATCTAATCCAGGGCTATTGGGATCAGCTCGTGCATTGGCTCGAACCATGTCCAGCTCCTCTACTTCACTGGCTTCATGGCTCTGCCCTCATCACTCGGTCAGAATATTTCTCCTTGCTGGAGGTCAGACCCAAGAAGAACCAGGTCATGTCCATTCTGGAGAGGGTCTGCAATGAGCCAGCAGCAAGCCAAATATTTCTGGAGAAGCTGAAGGAACTGCAAGAGATCTACAACCCTGAACTTCAGCGCTGGCTGCAAGAGACGGTCTTCACGCGGAGCAAAACAGAACTTTTTATAATTCCACCAGGTATACATATGGCTCAATTGGTATCTGCTAAATGGGATATAAGGCCAGGGGTGGGCTGGTGGGGGTTCGCAGGGGTTCAGGAGAATCTCTAGCTAAGATTCTGTGCAGTTCAGAGAACCCCCAAATCCCACTCCTAGCAGGCCCCGCCCTGCCCCCAGCCCCTCCCAGGAGTCCCCACAATGCCCGTTTTGGATGAAGGGAAGTGCAGGGTGTGCACGGAAGCTCAGGGAGGTTTAAAATGGGCCTACCAGAAGTTCGGGAAGGCTGGAAACAGGCCCATTTCCAGCCTCCAGAGGGCCTCAGGAGCCTGAGGAGGCCGTTTTTGCCCTCCCGGAGGCTCAAAAAAAGCCTCCGGAGCCCGGGGAGGGCAAAAACGCCCTCCCTGCCATGGTGCAGGAGGCCAACTAGACCACGCCCACCATGGCCATGCCCACCCAGCAACTGGGCAGAGAACTCCTTGCTAAAATTTTTGAAACCCATCCCTGCATAAGGTCTAACTACATACTTGTTATTCAAGGGCTCTTTGTCTTGGGATAGGCAAGTCAGTCACTGTTCATCTCCCAAACCACCTCTCAAAGATTCTGTTAGTATCGCTTTATAATAAAATTAGTATTGTTCTATGTGTTGGGTTTGGTTTCCTGGTCTAGTCTACCTTGAAAGGCTGACATCTCCATACCAGAAATGAGGTTGAGAAAAGAGGTAAAACAGAGCAGGTTCTGACCAGTTCTGGAGAACCAGTAGCGGAAATTTTGAGAAGTTCAGAGAACCGGTAGTAAAAATTCTGACTGTCCCTGTCCCCATCTATTCTCTGCCTCTCAAGTCCCAACTGATTGAGAGGAAATGGGGATTTTGCAGTATCCTTCCCCTGCCACGCCTACCAAGCCACACCCACAGAACCAGTAGTAAAAAATTTTGAAACCCACCACTGAGGTAAAACATTAAATTACCCGGACAGCTAAACATGCCTTGAAGATACTTCACTGTGTTTAAAAAATGTATATGCCACAAGGCAAAAAAATGGTTACCGGTGTATGTTCATCCTGCAGTTAATGGGAGAAGAAAATGAACCCAACAAGAGGAATGATTTTAAAGTCAAGAGTTAGACTTTATGCAGCTTCTATATTCTCTCTCTTCTTTCTAGATCCTCCCCTTAAAACATCCAGAAGGAATTTGCTGATGTTTTGGCAAACCAGAAAATATAAATTGCCACAGATATCTGCAGGCAAGTTACGTTCCCAAATGACCCTATGAGAAGTTTAGATTTGTGTATCATATTTATTCTTGCTGAGATAGCCATTTTCAAACTGCTTACAATTAAAATGGAGGCTAATTGACCCAATTTCTTTAAATGGATAGAATGTGGGCCAATGCTTTAGGACATTCAATTGATACCTGAGTTCCCACATTGCGATAAGCTAGTGATTCTCAACCTCAGCAATTTGAAGACATGTGGGCTTCCCCTCCCAGAATTCTAAGAGTTGAAATTCACACATCTTTAAGCTGCTGAAGAGAAATACTGCATTAAGCTATGTAGTTTGCTTGTTTCCTGCTTACTGATAGTTGCGCATGCATACGCACCCAAAATCCGGAAGACAAACAGGGAAAGCCACGTGTGCTGGACGACATGGTTTCGTACGCCACTTTGGGCACGCGTGCCATAGGTACGCCATCATGGACCTAAAGGAACAAGAAGTGTTAAAAGTTTGACCAACTAAGATCAGCTAAGAGCCACCAAAAGCATTGTAGAAATTTCACATGGTAGCTAAATGCAACTGTTCAGGACAAGGTGAAAATTATAAAAAGGAAACTGAAGAAGATGACCTGATGAGCTTTGTGAGACTCTTGAGGCTTTACTAATTACCCAACAAGGTCAGGTCTTGGCACTGTCCATTCTGCAGGTGGAAAGGGTGGCCCAGCAGAGAAAAAGAGCCTTGGTGGCACAGCAGACTAAAGCACTGTTAAGTAACACCAGCTGTCTGCAATTACTGCAAGTTCAAATCTCACCAGGCTCAAGGTTGACTCAGCCTTCCATCCTTTCGAGGTAGGTAAAATGAGGACCCGGTTTGTGGGGGCAATAAGCTGACTTTGTATAAAAAAGAACATTGCTTAGGGGGGGCCGAAAGCCCTACTAAGCAGGTATATACAAAAGTATGAAGGCTATTGCTTAACGCATTGTAAGCCGCCCCGAGTCTCCGGAGAAGGGCGGCATATAAATCGAACCAATAAATAAATAAATAAATAAATAAAAACTATCACTCCTTGGAAGTCAATGGAAGAGGAGAGGCCAATTCCAACATGATTTTCTCTTGTCCCAACAGATATGCAAAAGAATAACAGCTCAACTTTCCGGAAGGGCTTGGACCGGCAACTCAAAGGTAAATATATCAAAGAGATAGTAAAAAAACAACAACAACAGAGATGATGTTATCAGCAGGTTTGGTGTGAGATTCTTGCAGACCAGTTGCCTAATTCTTTCTTTTCCTTTGAGCCCCAGCAAGCTCAGATTGAGTGGAAAGCTTCTAGTTTTTAGTGGCAGGCACAGGTATTCTGTATCCTCCTCTGTATTTTCTTGCCAGCTGCCTTCTTGACTGCCCAAACTGTTTGTTGGTGAGAACATGCTGTTAAGACTCAGAAAGGATGCTAATTCAGTTCCCTCTTAATTTAAGATCCAGAATAAAATCCAGCAATCCAAGCTGGAAGAGAAGGAGGAGGTGAAGTCAGTTGTCCATCTTTGGATAAGATCACCCAGCTAATAACACAACTTTTTTTTTTTGGAGTTTCAAGATAATCCTATTCCACTGCTGGAATGGCCTGGGAATAGCCCAGACCTTCACCCCATTGAAAATCTATGGAGCTGACTAAAGAAACTTGTTAGTCAGAAGCGACCCAGCAATAAAACCCAGTTAATAGAAGCCATCATTCAATCTTGGTTTCACATTAGAACAGCTGCAGAACTCAAAAACTTAGTTCACTCCATGGGAAGATGTTGTAAGGCCGTAATTCATGCTAAAAGTTACCCAACTAAGGATTAACTGACATGGTGATGATTTTGTATATCTGGTTTTTCCTCTGGTGATAATTTTTGTATATCTCATTTTTTTCTACATGTTTCACATTCCTTCTTTATACTGTAACTGCTATTCTAATAGCAAATCCTTCATGAAAGTTATTGCATTACATTCTTGATTAAATTATCTTTCCATTGATACGTAATTTTATGGTACTACTCAAAAAAAAAAAATGGTGTTATTAGCTAGTTTTAGAAAATACACTTTTCCCAAAAGGTTTCCACAATTTTGGCCACTACTGTAGCTGAAGGGCAAAGAGAGGTTTTGTGGAGAAAGATAATCCACTTGAAGGTATGCCACTTGAACGTGCCACTTGAAGGTAGAGTTGAGGCTCATCTTATGTGTATCTCAGCCATCATCTGGAACAGGTGTGTCCAACCTTGGCAACTTTAAGACTTGTGGACTTCAACTCCCGGAGTTCCTCAGCCAGCTTTGCTTCAACTTCTGGGAGTTGAAGTTCACAAGTCTTAAAGTTGCCGAGGTTGGAGACCCCTGATCCATAACATTCAGTGCTGCAGATTTCAAACCAGAATCGTTCCACAAATGTACCTCTGCTTTTGCTTTCCCAGCTGCCCTGCAAAACCACCGTCGCTTGTTACTGACCCAAACTGAGAAGCTGCGCACTGATATCGAAGATACCGAGCCATGCAAATGTCCAGAAGTCTACTACCCTGACCTCCTGCTACTCAACAGGCTGTCCTATTCCAACCCCACCAGTCATGATTACTTGCAGCTGGCTTCTCATCAGACTTGGCTTCGTTCCTACCATGCCTCTTCCCATCTGGACCTGTGTCATCTTTTCTCTCCTTTCCCCCAGGAGAGCTCCCTGCCTCACCGGGTGATGCTAAGCGGCCCTGCCGGTATCGGCAAGACTGTCCTTGTCCAGAAGATCCTCCATTATTGGGCGCTAGGCAGAGCCTTCCAAGGCTTTCTTTGCGTCCTGGATTTTTCCTTCCAGGAGCTCAGCCTCATCACCACAACCCAGAGTTTAGAAGACTTGATTCGCCATAAATTCGCGCATCTGAACAGTGTTCTTTTTGCACTGCTGGAGCGACCGAGGGAGCTCCTCCTGATTTTGGATGGACTGGATGAGTTCAGGCATCCACTGGACAGCAAACATCCCTGCCTCTGGCCGGAAGAGTCAGGCCACGTGAAAGATCTGGTGTGCGGTCTCCTCTACGGGACCTTGCTTCCTGAGTCCACCATTTTGGTCACATCCAGGTCTTCTGTTCCTCTTCCACCGGAACTTTTTAACCGTCATGTTCTTGTCCTTGGTTTACAAGAAGCGCAGGTGAAGGACTATGTCTCCCAGTTCTTCCAGAGCTCCAGACATGGCACGGAAGTGATGAGTTACCTCTCAAGTCACCATGGCTTAGCCAACTTCACCTTCCTTCCTCTCTACTGCTTCATTCTCTGTACAGCTCTGGACCAATGCTTCCCAGATGAAGGGGTGAACCGAGTCTCCCTACCCAACACCATCACTGAGCTCTATCTGCTTTATGTGTGCCCCATCCTGAAGTTACACCAGCCTCCTTCTGGACAAGACGAAGGAATGAAGTGGGATTTGAGATGGGAGAAAAATTTGCTGCTGCAGCTTGGTCAGCTAGCCTATGTTGGTCTGCTAAGGGGACAGACCGTGTTCTATGCAGATGAACTACACGAGTTCGGTTTTGATCTACAGAACCTGCCACCTGTTTATCTGAATCAGATCTTCTTCAAGGAGACCGATGAAATCTACAGTTTTTTCCACTTGACCGTACAGGAGTTTTTGGCTGCATTATACTCCGTGGTTAATTTGGACTTCAACGCTGGGGAATTAACTTATTGCCTGGATCTCTGGTGGAATGGAAAAACTCCAGAAGATCGAGACACCAGTAGCTTTCCGAACCCAACAGAGGGATCTGCTAGTGGATTTTACAATTATACCCAGCAATCTCTGTATAGACACCCACAGTGGGACAAACTGCAAATGTTTTCCAGGTTTTTCATGGGGTTGTTGACCTCTAGATTAGAAGGCAAGTTGGAAGGACTGCTTGGGAACAGTTGGGAAGGAGACCCAGCTGTACTTTTGGCAGACTGGTTTGGGAAAAAGGCTTCGTGTGAATCAGGTCAGAAGTTGCTGTCCTTGATACATTGCTTAGCGGAGCTGCACCAGGACGACGTGACTCAGAAGGTCATTTCCAAGATGGGCGAGGTGGATCTGTTCAAGGTGACACTGAACCGAGCGGATTGCGCGGCTTTGGCCTATGTCCTGAGTTGCTCAAACTCTCGGGTTCTCCAGAATCTCAACTTAAGCTACAGCAATATGGGCACTGGAGGACTGAAACAGCTGCAGGACCATCTCCATCGCTGCAAAACTTTGCAGTGAGTATTGGTTTGGCAGTTGGTTGCCTTTGACCTAAATAGGCAGGGATGATGAGATTGGAAAGGAATCAATATCCTATTCTCAGCTCCGCAAGAGAGGCAGAATTGAAGGCAGATCTACTCCGCATTGTAGAGATGCATTGCTTTTAAATGACTTTAAATCGGGGGAAATCATAGTTTTATGGATGTGGTGGTTAAACTTTTAAAGCTAACGCTAGAACCTCTCCTGTTCATAAAAGCATAGTTGCTAGTATGACCTTTGCAGAGAAGGAAGGACTATTCGTAGCCCCCTTCGTTAAGTTATTCAGAATTCGGGTTATACTATTGGATTCTTCCCAGCTCCTATCCACAGTTTTTGATTATTTTTTTTAAAAATTTGATTTATATGCCGCCCTTCTCCGGAGACTCAGGGCGGCTTACAATGCGCTAAGCAATAGCCTTCATTCTTTTGTATATTTTATACAAAGTCAGCTTATTGCCCCCACAAACTGGGTCCTCATTTCACCTACCTTAGAAAGGATGGAAGGCTGAGTCAACCTTGAGCCTTGGAGAGATTCGAACCAGCAGAAATTGCAGGCAGCTGTGTTAATAACAGGGTGCATTGAACTCCATTGGCACGCAATGCTATACTTCCACCCTAGTGGGGCTTCAATCCTTTCCTGGGAAATTCAAATCAAGAGGTCAACCCATCCCTACAGTTTTCTTATTCTTAGTCATCTTATCCAAACCGCATTATGGAAATCAAATACTTAAAATGGGAGGCGCCATTACTGTTCTCTTACACTCTTACCCCCTTCCATTTTAATGGGAATTCTGGGAGTTGAAGTTCACACATCTTAAAGTCGCCAAGGGTGAGAAATACTACTTTGGCCTATCACTTTTGTGTCTCCTAGATTTCTGCCACCATGACCAAATTGTTCACTTCCGCCATGTTTCCTCTGCCCCCTCGTTTTCATTTTCTCAGCTTGGTTCTGAGTTTCCACCCAAGTTTCATTTCTGGTCTTCCTTTTTTTTTTTTTTAAAAAAAATCCCCTCTTTTGTTTAAATCCTCTCATTTCCTTTGTTTAAAGCAGGTGTGTCCAACTTTGGCAACTTTAAGACTTGTGGATTTCAACTCCCAGAATTCCCCAGCCAGGTCATGTGGGTTGGAGGATTCTGGGAGTTGAAGTCCACAAGTCTTAAAGTTGTCAAGGTTGGACATCCCTGATTTAAAGCTTGTTTCTTTTCTTTTTTTTCTTTCTTTTTTTAATTTGATTTATATGCCGCCCTTCTCCGGAGACTCAGGGCGGCTTACAATGCGTTAAGCAATAGCCTTCATACTTTTGTATATTTATACAAAGTCAGCTTATTGCTCCCACAAACTGGGTCCTCAATTTACCTACCTTAGAAAGGATGGAAGGCTGAGTCAACCTTGAGCCTGGTGAGATTCGAACTTACAGTAATTGCAGACAGCTGGTGTTAATCACAATGCTTTTAGTCTGCTGAGCCACCAGGCCCTTCTTGCCCTTGTCAAAGAAACTCTTCTCATCGCAACTGAGTGATGCCTATTTATGCATCCTCCTCAATCTAGGGCCTTCCAAATGGGTCAGGTTCAGTGGTGTGATACAAAAATTTTCCCTACCGGTTCTGTGGGTGTGGCTTGGTGGGCGTGGCTTGGTGGGGTTAGTCATGTGACTGGGTGGGCATGGCCAACTTCTTTTTTACTTTTTTAAATGCATTTTTTAACTAAAAAAAAGTTTTAAAAAAGCTCTGACAATCAGCTGTGCCCATGATCGCCGGAACCTTTCTTTAAAACTTTTTTTAAAGCATTCTTTACTACCTATTTGCCTGAACCTGCAGTAAAAAAATGCTTAAAAAAGTAAAAAAAAAAAAGATTCCGATGATCAGCTGTGCCAATCAGCTGTGCCGTGCGATCGTCGGAACCTTTTAAAAAACTTTTTTAAAGCATTTTTTTTATTACCGGTTTGGGCGAACTGGCCAGAACTGGTAGCACTTCACCCCTGATCAGGTTATATTATGGAAATCAAGGAACTGGACCTCCAGCACATCTGGACTGGGTAGAGCAAGGAGTTGTGTGTGTGATGGTGATGCATTTTAAAATATCACACAAGTTCCCTTTTCTGGGCCTTTAAATCCAGATCACACTTATCTTACAGAGAAATGTGACCTTTAAGCTACCAGGGTAGCTAAAGGCAGTGGCTGTAACTGCACAAGCATGTCAGAAATGGTTAGCATTAACCTTGATATTTAACCTGTTTGATAAGCTGTTGATCTCTGTGGGTTGTGCAACGTTCAGAGAATGGGTTCATGCTGTAGCTAAATTAAGTCCATTGTATTTCAGATTGCAATACAATTCTCTAGACTGGGAAGCCGCAGAAATCGAAGCAACGATTCTAAGGTCCCCCCGGTGCTGTCTGGAAAGACTGGTGTAAGTAGAGAGGCTCATCAAATGCTTCCTTTAAATTGCACGTTGGCATGTTGGGAACTCTGGGAATTGAGCCGCCAAGGTGGGGAAAACGTAGCTTGAGGGCTACTCTCTTTGTGTGATTAAGCTAGCTACACTACGGAATGAGGGTGGAGGTTGGTTCTCCAAGCTTGTGGATTGGTTTCCAAACATTTCGTTACCAGGCTAGGTAACATCTTCAAGGGAATTTAGGGGATGTCGGTGTTCTTCTGCTTATAAGGGCTTCGGATGATCAGCGGGTCCTGTGATGGGGAGGTCACATCAGGGAGGTGAAGTGCTGGTTTGGGAATTTTATAGTGGGTGGGCTTCAAAACCTTTAGTAAGGGGTTCTCTGCTCGGTTGCTGTGTGGGTGTGGCCATGGTGGGTGTGGCCTAGTTGGCCTCCTGCACCATGGGGGGCATTTTTGCCCTCCTCGAGCTCCGGAGGCTTTCCTCGAGCCTCTGGGAGGGTGATAACGGCCTCCCCAGGCTCCGGAGGCCCTCTGGAGGCTGGAAACGGGCCTGTTTCTGGACTTCCTGAACTTCCAATAGGTCAGTTTTCCCCCCTTCCCGAGCCTCCGCACATGCCCTGCACTTACCTGCATCCAAAATGGGCTGCATGGGGACTCCTGGGAGGGGCAGGGTGCAGTGGGCAGGGCCAGCCAGGAGTGGGATTTGGGGGTTCTCCGAACTGCACAGAATCTTAGCTAGAGGTCTCCCGAACCCCTGCGAACCCCCAGCAGCAGTGGTGAAATCCAATTTTTTTTACTACCAGTTCTGTGGGAGTGACTTGATGAGTGTGGTGTGGCTTGGTGGGTGTGGCAGGGGAAGGATACTGCAAAATCTTCATTCCCACCCCACTCTGGGACCAACCAGAGGTGGTATTTGCCGGTTCCCCGAACTACTCCAGAACCTGTCAGAACCTGCTGGATTTCACCCCAAACTTTCCAGCTTTACGGCCCGCAGAGGGTGGAAAAGGGAATGGTTCTTCATGCTCATCCTCCACTTCCATGGCCCGGTTTCAAACAACTCAAGGCTCTGATAGTGGGCCACAGTCTGGGGGGGGGGGTTGAGGACCCCTGCTTTAACACTTTCTTCATTTTTGTTGGACGGGAGGTTTTCTTTGGAAAACCCTAAGATCTGCCAGGTTGAATCCATTCTGGTAAAGCTATTTGCAATTCCCTGCTGGAGAGACTTTACTCAACGTTGTGAGTGGGAATGTGAGATTTAGATGATTTTGCTGGTCTAAACAACCGTTGCTTTGCATACAACTTTCTACTCTACCCAAGGCTTTGTGGGAACCGGCTGAGATCCAATGGGGCGAGTCTCTTATGGAACGCCCTTCGCGATAACACCACCCTAGAAGAGCTTCATTTGGACCTCACGGATCTTACGGACAGAGGCCTCGATAAGATTTTGGATTGTCTATCAGGAAATACAACTCTCCGGCTCCTGAGGTGAGTTTGCTGAGCTGCCTATTCATTGTGAGACTTTTCACCAACATTCCGATGGTCTTAATGTTGAAGGACTAGAAAAGACGAGAACTCTGCCCTTCCCCAGTTTCGTCCAAGGCCAACGGAGCCACCCTCTCAATCTCTGGCGGCTCTTGTTCCAGCTCAAATTCCGATGGGGTGGGGGGGGGGCATGACACCAGCATTGGCATCTGGCTTGGGAATTCAGGGAGCTGAAACCCTGACATAATTGGAGGGCCCTCAGTTTGGGGAGAAGGCTACCTTAACAGTCCCAAAGGTGCTTTTTCAAGAGGCAACTGGACTTTCTGGTTTTTCTTTGAAGATGTTTCACTTCTCATCCAAGAAGCTTCTTCAGCTCTGGCTGAATGGTGGGGGGGATGGAAGGATTTATATTCTTTTTAGAGAGTCGTTGAGGCCACTTGGAGGTTTATCTCTATCCTCAGGGTCAAACTCAGTAGTACCGTATCTGTATTGTGCTTCTGTTTAACGGCACCTTATTTAATTTATTCTTACAAATAAAGAAACTCTCAGGAAAAAAATAATTAATTTAAACATTTTATTTACAATTCTTACTTTAGATCAGAGGTCTTCAAACTTGGCAGCTTTAAGACTTGTGGACTTCAACTCCCAGGATTCTCCAGCCAGGTATGAATTCTGGGAGTTGAAGTCCAGAAGTCTTAAAGCTGCCAAGTTTGGGGAACCCCTGCCTTAGATGACCAGTTCAGCCAATGAAATTTTTGAGAGAAGACAGACATGTACAGAGCAGCCGCTAAATTTTTTTGGCTGTTATGTCTTCAAATAACCAGGAACATATGTTGATTTTTGGGGTTGCAAATAAATTTTAGCGAACAGGCAAATTTACAAATATGGAACCTGCAAATCAGGGTAGATTTGATTTAAATCGAGTTGATTTAAATCATGATTTAAATCATGATTTAAATCACTAGTAAAAAGGCTTGATTTAAATCAACTCGATTTAAATCATAACTTTTAAAGAGCAACTGTCATTTCTGCTACTCCTTTGACCCACTGTTGACTCACCGATAGTCCCAGTATTGCAGAATATACAGCCTCATGCTACATAATTAAGCTCCATTTCATGCTGAATAAACTAAATTATTTATGTATCTTAAATAGAAAACTATCTTACGATAGATTTTTACCCCAAAAGTTTTTTATTAAAATAAATTCGATAAAAATAAAAAAAATCCGATTTAAATCAAAAAAATCTGATTTAAATCAAAAAAATCTGATTTTTTAATTTTTTTTAAAAAAAATCATTGATTTTTATCCACCCTGCTGCAAATACTGTTAACACGGATTTCTTAGGCACACAGCAAACCCATTAGAAAGTATATCCAATTGTATCTGTTGCTTTCAGTATTGGAAGTAATTCATAGCATATTTCAGCTTTATTAGCACATCCTTCAACTGGGCATTGCCATATTAATTTCAATATTAATATGTATTAATTAATTAATATATTAATATGAATTAATTTCTTTCTCAGCCTTACAGGGAACAGATTTAGCCAAGCAGGCCATCATATCCTCTCTGAATTGGGTCGCAGAAAACCCAAACTTAAGATCGTCAGCAGTTTCCTGTCTGATACGGCGTTGCTCCAGAATTATCTGGATTGGGTGGACGAGATCACAATTGAGCAAATGGAGTCGGTCAACAATGCTGGAGCCCTGGACACGATTCTGGAAACTTTGATGGACACAGATGATCCAGAAGCTAGCCAGGAAGCTCAGGAAAAAGCTGGAGAGCTAAAGAAAAAGATCTGCGCTATCCGGAATGACGACAAAAAAGAAGAAAAGAGCAACAAATCCTATTTAATCTGATCTGTAAAGCGGGACAGTTTTTGTGAGCCAAAATACGTGCCATCGCACAGAATTTCTCGCCTCTTTATTTGAGCCCATCCATGTTTTTCATTAAATAAAGGAATACGGGTAGTCCTGGATTTTGCAAGCATTATTTGGGCTGGCTTGAGCTAAATTTTAAATTGGTTTTAAATTGGGTTGTTTTAATTTACGGCCAGAATATCTAATTATTTTAATACTGTTTTTTAAATTTTGTATGCTTTGTTTTTACTTAGGCTGTGCACCGCCCTGAGTCCTATTTGGAGAAGGGCGGTATAGAAATTTAAACAAATAAAAAATAATAAATAAATTCGTTTAGCGACTGTTCCAAGTAACTTACAATGGGTAGTCCTCAACTTACGACTGTTTCTTTAGTGATGGTTCAAAGTTACCATGGCACTGAACAAAGTGACCCATGACCATTTTTCACAGTTATGACTTTCGCAACATCCCCCAAGATCAGGCGCTTGGCCACAGGGTTCATATTTAACTTGAAGAGGCCTGGACTTCAACTCCCAGAATTCCCCATGGCTGGCTAGGAAATTCTGGGAGTTGAAGTCCACACATCTCAAAGCTGCCAAAGTTGAGAAACACCGGCTTAGATCTGAGATGCCAAGAGGCTAAGGAAGCCCAAATCGTCCCTCTTTTCCTCCATCTCAGAGAAAAGTAGGATTTTCAGAAGCCCACATTTGTTTTTCTGACATTTCTGCAACGTTTAAGGAGCATAAGCTACAACACCTTTCCCCCACCCCCTAAAAAAGCCATTAACAATAAAACAAATCTATTGACTGAAACGTGCAGAGTGTAAGACTTTGGGTAGATCTAAAACGCGTGTCAATCTTCCTAATGGACATTTCTTCACCCTACCTGTGTCGGCTTCACCACAAAATTTAGATAAACAGAGTTGGAAGGGACCTTGTAGGTCATCTAGTCCAACCCCCTCCCCAAGCAGGAGACCCTATACAATTTCTGACAGATGGCAGTCCAATCTCTTCTCGAAAGCCTCCAATGATGAAGCTCCCACAACTTCCGAAGGCAACTTCTGTTCCACTGGTTGACTGTTCTCACTGTCAGAAAAATTCCCCTTATTTCCAGGTTGAATCTCTCCTGGTTCAGTTTCCATCCATTATTCCTCTTTTTGGACTCTCTAAATGCCACGCGCAGCCACGCGAGCTCCGTCTATCCATGATACCGGAGGTGGAGAAGGGTTGTCAGGAGGATTTCCTTAAAAAAAAAAAAAAACCACCCCATGATTTTACGCTTATATAAGAGCCTGGTGGTGCAGTGGACTAAACTACTGTTAAAGTAGTATTTAGCTGCCAGCTGCCTGCAATTACTGCAAGTTCAATTCTCACCAGGCTCAAGGTTGACTCAGCCTTCCATCCTTCCCAGGTAGGTAAAACGAGGACCCGGTTTGTGGGGGCAATAAGCTGACTTTGTATAAAATAGAACACCGCTTGGGGGGGGGGCCAAAAAGCCCTACTAAGCAGGTATATACAAAAGTATGAAGGCTATTGCTTAAAAGCATTGTAAGCCGTCCTGAGTCTCTGGAGAAGGGTGGCATATAAATCAAACTAATAATTTTTTTTTTTTTGCTTTAATTTATATGCCGCCCTCCTCCGGAGACTCAGGGCGGCTTACAATGCGTTAAGCAATAGCCTTCATACTTTTGTATATTTATACAAAGTCAGCTTATTGCCCCCACAGTCTGGGTCCTCATTTTACCTACCTTAGAAAGGATGGAAGGCTGAGTCAACCTTGAGCCTGGTGAGATTCGAACTTGCAGTAATTGCAAGCAGCAGTTGTTAACAACAGTGCTTTAGTCCACTGTACTACAGGCTCTTGATAATAAATAATATATAAAGCCAGATTGTATCCGGCACCCTCAAAAAAACTACACAATAAATGTGTTGGAAACTAAATTATTAGGATTGCCAGGAGGGGGCGGTTGTTCCTTCCAGGATTTCGCACAAATCAAGAACAGATTCTAAGCAAAGGAAGGAAGGAAGGAAGGAAGGAAGGAAGGAAGGAAGAAAGAAAGAAAGAAAGAAAGAAAGAAGAAAGGAAGAAAGAAAGAAAGAAAGAAAGAAAGAAAGAAAGAAAGAAAGAAAGAAGAAAGGAAGGAAGGAAGAAAGAAAGAAGAAAGGAAGAAAGAAAGAAAGAAAGAAAGAAAGAAAGAAAGAAAGAAAGAAAGAAAGAAAGAAAGAAAGAAAGCCAAGTAACAAAAAACAATCAATCAATCAATCAGTGTTGAATCTAAATGATTGCTGCCTGTTTAATGCATAACGTTATAATGTCAGGGGCAGAAAAATGCAGGCTTCCTTCAATTTTAAAATAAAACTTGCGTTTAAAACCCCAGGATTGGCAATCCTGGAGGAAGGACGAGAGAGAGACAAACAGAAAACGAAAGCGTGGGGGAAAATGCAGCAAAAATCCACCTCGCTTCTATACATTCCTTGCTTTATTCGCCTTCGACCCGCCCCCTTTCTCTAGCCACGCCCCTAGTCCAGCCTTGTGCTTTGCCTTTGCGTTATACGAGATCGCGATCGCTTGCTCTGGAAAGACCCGGGGAAAAAGCCCACGCGTGACCCAGATTGTCTAAAGGTGTGGAGACCGTGAGAGGTCTTAATTTCCCCCACCCGTTATCACCGGCAAGGGGATTGCAAGAGCCCTTTCCCATCCCCATCACTCTACAAACTCTCTCGTGGTGGATGGGTGGGGAAAAAAAAAACTCGCCCCGATGCGTGGAAGATCTCCAAACTGGTTTAAACTGCAAGAGATGCATTGCATTAAGCTTTGGCTGGGGATCATGGGAGCTGTAGTTCAAGTGCTCTTATAGAAAGTGCAATATAAAGAAGATCTATGGGGGTAGGGGTGAGAATTTCAGCTTTGAAGAAAATACTGCTGATTCTTAGATCTTTTTTATGGCTCCCTATCCTTAAATTGGGCAGATACAGAGGGGTTTTTTGGTCAACTACGGAGTAAGTCAACTACATGGCCTTTTCAGTAAATAACAGTGCTGGAAAGAAGAGGTTTTGGGTTCCTACCAGGGGTGGGAACGGGTAGCGGATATTTTCAGTAGTTCAGGAGAACCGGCAAATGCCACCTATGGCTGATCCCAGAGTGGGGAGGGAATGGGGATTTTGCAATATCCTTCCCCCAGGAGTGGGGAGGGAATGGGGATTTTGCAGTATCCTTTCCCTGCCATGCCAACCAAGCAGTGCCATGCCCACCAAGCCACACCCACAGGTGGCAGAAGGTGGTCTCGTAGATATCCAGGTCCTAAGCCATGGAGCGCTCTAAAGGTGCTCACCAACACCTTGAATCGCACCCGGACGACCACCGGAAGCCAGTGCAGCTCACGCAGGAAAGATGTTACATGGGAGCACCATGACGCTCCCATAATCACCTGCGCGGCCGCATTCTGGACCAGTTGGAGCCTCCGGGTGCTCTTCAAGGGGAGCCCCATGTAGAGAGCATTACAGTAGTCCAGGCGGGACTCCTGTTATTTATGGTGTTTGTTATTTATTTATTGTTAATGTTATTTATTTGTTTTTGGGGTTTGTTGATGGTTAGAATCTGCCGTCGTGCGTTTCCTATGGAAGGGAAGGCAGGAAGGTGACGTATAGATTAATGGATCAGACTTTGGTCTCTGTAGACCAAAAAGAGGGAAAAAATTTTTTTTTCCAAACCTATTGAAAACATGTTTGAAGAAGTAGTTTTCTTGACCGTTGGTTTTTGTGTTTCTCCTCTTTCCTACAGTCTTTGTGTCTCCTGGGGGCTTTAGAATCACGCAGAAGGTCCTATGGCTGAGAACCAGCAGCTCGTCAATGGTGAGGCCCCTGAGAGAAGGCTGGTCCTGATGCCATCTGGATCATCCTCCAAAGAAGTGTCCACACCTGGAACTTCTGAGCTGCATCTTAACTCCTTGGGACATGTGACACCATCAAGCAATCTCTCCTCCTTAACGGTGCCTGTACGCTTGGATGTCCTCTACTTCTTGCTCAACAGTGCTGCCAAAGGGGCACAGAATGCCTTGGCTCCCCTACCTATTCTGAGTGGGCAAGGATCTGTCTCTGCCTGTCATGGCCCGGGTGCTTTACAGGCAGGGAGCTGCTGTAACAGCTGCCAACCCACCTGCCATAAGGCTTCTGGTGGTGCTCCTTACGCCTGGCACTCTAGTGCGCCTCACCGTGATGAGACAATTTATAGAAGCTGTCATTCTCACGGCCAATCGAGCGCTGGAATCCCAGATAGACAAAATAACCAACGTGTCAGGGTTGCCCAATGGGATGATGGGAAGAACTGGGCTGGTATCCCTCAAGCAGAACCAGCAAGGGGATGGAAACGATCCCAGTCCCCCTTGGGATGGAAGGAGAGGCAGAGAGATGAAGGCGGGAGGTATTGGAAAGGGGACAACTGGCAAGGGAAGGAGGGAAATTTCAGGAAGTCTTGGAGCAACCACAGGGAAAGTCTGGCTGAGTCAACTCCTTGGTCTTCAGGCCCGCCGAATAGAAAAAGGGAAGGCACATCATCATTTGGAGAATCTTCTCTGAACATTAAGAAGCAGCGAGATGGAAATTGTTGGCAAGAGATGCGTGATGCCTCCAAAGGCCAAAGATACTCGGCCCATGCCCAGTTTGACTGGCAAAAGATCCAAAGGCCAGAAGAATCTGCCGGCTTCGTAGATAATATGACAGCTGTTGAGAGGACCACTACAACTGGCCAGGATAAAAGTGAAGATTGGGAGGCAGAATATAAGAATACCCAAGAAACCATCAGTGCTCCTGAGTGTTTTGCCAGTTCTTCCCTTAAGAACAAAGAAATGAATACTTACAAAGCAGGAGATAGTTACGATGTAGAACGTGTTCCATCTACCGATCTACCCAAACAGAAGCTGGAGATCTCTCCTCTTCCCAAGTCTCTTTCCAAAGACCAGGCAGCTACATCTACTGAGATGGAACCCACCGCATCTGACTCAGATTGGAAGAAGAATGGCAAGTTTGCCCATTATCTCCAGAGCCTTTATTCTGATGTCCCGGAGAAGTCAAGTTCTGAATGTTCTACAGATCTGACCATCGATATAGATGCAGAGAAATCCAGACCAGAAGAAGAAGAGGCCATGAACAGTGCACCTGATGGAGAATCAAAACCTTTGGAGTAGAAGATTATGGCTGGGAGATTAGCTGGGAGGAGAAAAGGAGGATACTGTGCAGTTTACAAATTTGGGAATCTAAGAGGAGATTTCTCCAAAAGGTTCCATTTCTGGAATTCCAGAACTGTTTAATCGGTTAAGATAGACGTTTGACTCCAGTGTAGGTAGGTTGTCATTATTATGTCTTGTTTTACAGATTATTTACAACCTGGGCTGTCCTTTATTCCTGAAACAAGGGTTCTTCTGACATAATCAGAAACGTCTGTTATCCTTTCCAAAATAGGATAGATTATCCAGTAAATAAGCAGTACTCAGCCAGCCACCTTGCTACTTGAAGAGAATGGAAAAAGCAATGGAGAATTGCATTAGTGGCATCATTTATTCTTAGTCCGGTTACTCTTAAAATAGATCACCAATGGAAAGCTACTTCAGATTGTGTTAACTGTCACCGCTTGGATTTTTCATTTGGCAGTTTGTTACAATGGAAGCATCCTACTGTCTCCATGCAGTCACCCACATCCATCGGTGACTTCTACAAAATGCCCATTGGGGGTTCTGTAAAAATAATCCGTGACTTTTAAACTACAGTCTGTCTGGTTTGAACCCAAAGGTTAACGCATATTACATCTTAAGCACAGAAGCTTGAAACCATCATGCAAATCTCAGGAGACAGACTTACATCGTTTCAAAAGCGGTTATCATTTCACTGCATGGGAAAAATGGATAGCAAAGGCCATCCGTATTTTTTTATTTTTGCACACAGAGATGGATATGTTATTTTAATAACGATGTCTGTCTAGTACATCTAAATGCATTAATCTTGCTGTTTTAAGTGTTCCTGGCTGTTAAACACTGAGTTTGTTTAGAAAGCTTTAAAACCCTTTTTGGATATCTTATGTGGGTTTAAAACCCAAGAAAAGCATCTGTGGTGATTTGAAATACTTTATAGTAAAATATTTTTGTTTTTCCCCTAGGGGAAGGTGGGAATGTGTGTTTTTCTGATAACTTGTCACGTGTTGCAATAAAGTTGGCATTGTGTTAGCAAGATGGGCTGTTCTCCTTAATATACAAGGCATGGGCACGTTTATTTAAACTTGAGCAGAGTTGTCATGGTGGGCATTTCAAGAAAGCCAATAAAATTAAGATTCAATTTTATTTACCTAATTTTATTTATCCAAACAAACTAGCATGATCAAAGCAGTATGATTGAAAGAGGGCCCTGGGGAAGTCAAAGAAGAGATTGTCTCCCTACCGAATAGCGCAGTATTTTATTTTTATGAGATCATTTCTCTTTGCATAGCTACTGTTTATTTCAATTGTAGATACCTAAAAACAATTAAAAGCCCAAAGATTAGGTAGATGATAGCACAAGAGATAAAGAAAAATATACTATATATACAGAGAGAGAGAGATGGATGGATAGGTACAGATATTTGATATATAAGAGATACAACAGGGGTGTCAAACTCGTGTCATCAATGGTGTCACATGACGTATTGTGATTTCCCCCCCCCCTTTGCTATACAAGGCATGTCCAGCTTGTGACACATCCAGCGTGTGAGTTTGAAAGCCCTGAGATAGAAGATAGATACTGGAGAGTGGGTGGGTCAATTTTGCAGCTTCTGGAGGTACTCCAGAGCCATGATGGTGCAGTGGTTAGAGTGCAGTACTTCAGGCTACTTCTGCTGACTGCCAGCTGCCTGCAATTTGGCAGTTCGAATCTCACCAGGTTCAAGGTTGACTCAGCCTTCCATCCTTCTGAGGTGGGTAAAATGAAGACCCAGATTGTTGGGGCAATAGGCTGACTCTGTAAACCGCTTAGAGAAGGCTGTAAAGCACTGTAAAGCGGTATATAAATCTAAATGCTATTGCTACTCCTAAGTAATTTCAGAAGTTTCTTTGTAAGGAAACAGACATGACACCATTGAATCTTTTCTCATTATACTTCAGACTCTTCACAATTTAAATTGCAATCAAAACATTCTTTCCCTTGTTGCACAACATTAATCTAATTGGCCAGAAACCTTGGGGACAGAAGAACGCAGAAGCCTCATTGGTCGGAATTTGCACCCATCAATGCAGATTCCAGTGGTAGCCTAGAAACCTGTGATGGTCGTCGAGCAACCGAGCAGATCTCAGAAGTGGTTGCTGTTTCTTCATCCTTGCTTCCATTGCAGAGAAGCTGCCCCAAATGGCAGAAAGGTGTGGCTGTTGGACCTGTTGTGGGAGGGAGAAAGGGGTAAGGTCTTAACAGATTTAACAGATTAACAGAGTCGGAAGGGACCTTGTAGGTCATCTAGTCCAATCCTCCCCAAGCAGGAGACCCTACACTATTTCTGACAAATGGCAGCCCAATCTCTTCTTGAAAGCCTCCAGTGATGAAGCTCCCACAACTTCTGAAGGCAACTTCTGTTCCACTGGTTGATTGTTCTCACTCAGAAAATTTCTCCTCATTTCCAGGTTGAATTTCTCCTTGTTCAGTTTCCATCCATTATTCCTTGTCTGGCCTTCAGGTGCTTTGGAAAATAAGTTGAGTCCCTCTTCTTTGTGGCAGCCCCTCAAATATTGGAAGACTGCTGTCATGTCTCCCCTGATCCTTCTCTTCACTAGACTAGCCATGCCCAGTTCCTGCAACTGTTCTTCATCTGTTTTAGTCCCCAGTCCCCTAATCATCCTGGTTGCTCTTCTCTGTACTTTTTCTAGATTCTCAACATCTTTTTTATAGTGTGACCAAAACTGGATGCAGTATTCTAGGTGTGGTCTTACCAAGGCTTTATAAAGTGGTATTGGTACCTCCCTTGATCTTGATTGTATCCTTCTGTTAATGCAACTTAAAAAAAGAATTGAAAACTGTGACCTGCATTTTGTCCTGCCCCATTCTTTTTTTTTTTTTAAATTTTTATTATAAACTGAAGACAAAAAAGAAACAAAAAGAAGACGATAACAAAACAAAATCACATACATACAACTGAGGTCGATTCAGCCCCCATATACATACAGTTCCTAAGTAACATTACATACCATCCTACTACATCTTCGATTAAATTTTCCACATTGCATCTTACACTTGTTAATCTTCTTACATCTAGTATTACCTTATATATATATTTAGCTTAGTATCAACAATTCTATGCTATATGCTTTCCTAACATCGACCTCATGGCATTTTTACTTCTATCCATTTGTACCATTTATCCCAGCTTTGATTGATTCTTGTCTATCTTTTAAGAATATATGTTAAGCTATCACATTCTGCACACCACAATTTTTTTTTTAATAATCATCTGGTCCGATGATACTTCTTTCCCTTTCCAAAATTGCGCACATGCAATTATTATATAATTATTGAGTTCCAACCTCTGTTCTATCAGATCTTGCAATCAATACCCAATACTTTCCTGCAAATGACCATTAATCAGGAATTTAAAAAATACATTAGAAATAATCATAATGACTCTAATTTTTTTTCTTCCTCCTCCATCTAGAGAAATCCCTTCCACTACAGTTTCTTTAACAAGCGTCACCAGTTTAGAGATAAATTTGTCTTTCTTGAGTCAACCTCTGAAGATTAGCAGTGGCATTTGCTCAGCGGGAAGTCTGCTGTTGGAGTATATGTCCTTGAGTACCTCTTACTGGGTACTGGAGACAACCCACAGAGGCATGGTTTATAGTGGTCTCTGGAACATCTGCTTAGAATCAAAATGCAACCTGTACCAGTTTAATCTCTTAGGTAAGATCTCTCTACTCCCTCTTGTGATGTCTTAAAGATATTCATTCATTCATTCATTCATTCATTCATTCATTCATTCATTCATTCATTCACTCACTTTATATTCTGCCTTCCCTCCATGAAGTCAAAACAGTATACATCAGGGGTCGGCAACCTTAAACACTCAAAGAGCCACAAAGGTCCTAACCGGAAGCCCCCCATTCATATCTGGAGCCAACCGGAAGTCTGGTTCCCCCACCATAGAGTCTCCTCCTAGCGTGGCATCCTTTTTCCTGTCCTAACTGAAAGCCCTATCAATTGTGGAGCTGACCAGCAACAGGGAGCTGCTGCATTGGGATGAAAGAGCCACATGCGGCTCCAGAGCCGCAGGTTGCTGATCCCTGGTATACACAATGCCCACTTCTCTCATTTTTGTCCACATAAAGGCCCCTGAGAAATAGGCTGCGTTTCAGCAATAGGAGGTTGCTGTAACTTCAGGTGAATTTACAATCAGTTAAAAATAGAATTCTTTTGGGGGCCCATTTCAGCTGCTCTGTTAGCTGTTGGACCCGCTAGTTGATGGTGGCTTTTCCTGACCCAGAACAAAATGAGCAAACTGAATTTATAATGAGTGTTAAAAGGCAACCCCTTTTAGGAGCTACAGACAGTGATTTACCCATGCCTTTTCCCAGAGATGCGGTGGCTCAGTGGCTAAGATGCTGAGCTTGTCAATCGAAAAGTCGGCAGTTCAGCGGTTTGAATCCCTAGTGCCGCGTAATGGGGTGAGCTCCCGTTACTTGTCCCAGCTTCTGCCAACTTAGCAGTTCGAAAGCACATAAAAAATGCAAGTAGAAAAAATAGGGACCACCTTTAGTGACCACGGAGACGTCTTCGGACAGCGCTGGCTCTTCGGCTTTGAAACGGAGATGAGCACCGCCCCCTAGAATCGGGAATGACTAGCACGTATGTGCAAGGGGAATCTTTACCTTTTCCAGGATACCGATCTGATCTTCCAATCTAGCCTCTTACTTTCAGACCCAAGCCCAGAGACGAAACAGTGAGAGCCAATCAAATCCAACCCTTTATTTGCTTACACCTAAAGAGACAGAATCTTGCCTAATTAAAACTATAACCTTCTAATCTAGCAAGTATATATCCTGAGGGATTTTAGGCTGTGGCCACCCTGAACCTCTTCCTTCCTCCCCAGGACAGCAGGGTCTCTTAATCCAAGCTTCTTTCTGGGAAAGCTCAGTATTGCCAAGATTCCCTCTCTATTCCTGCAGGTATGCATTATACTACACTACTGCACTACTGCACTAATCTCAGATTTTCCCATGCAATCACTAGTTTCAGGATCAGGCAAACCTGGCTAAGTGCTGCTATCTATCGGGACCAAATTTCTAAATTGACATCCCAATTAACGTTTAGGTAGACATCAGGTTAACTAGGTAGAGATGGAAAACCCAGCTTTTTTAAACCCAGCTTTTATTTTTTTAAAATTCACTTCTGTGCAGATCTCACTTCTATTTTCACCATTCAATATTCGATAACAAGAGTAACGACCTTTGTCATTCATTTAATTTCAGCATTTTTTTTTAAATATCCAAGGGTTGCTAGCAACAGTGAACCAGATTGGAATTGAAAATGTTTTTCTTTTCTTTTTTTTTTAATGTGAAATTGTAGCTGTGTTAGTAAAAGAGGGGCATCAAATATATTGGAGGTTTAACATGCCTCTTTACGAGCGTTATTGTTTAGGCTTGGCAACTTGCTACGAAATGTTGCGGAATTTTTGGGATGCTCTTTGAGGTGCAAGGACAGGGTTATGGGGCTGAAGTTGTACATACCCACACCCACACACTAATGTTTTCTTTCTTTTCTTGGGCACAGCTTTGCACATCCATGTTACCCGCGCCTTCCTGCTGATGGCCCTCTTCTGTGGCTTCATAGGGTTGCTTTTCAGTTGCATCTCTTTTGAACGTAACAAGCTATACGATGTATCGGTAATAAAAACAGCAGCCATCTTCAGCTTCAGTGCAGGTTGGTAATAGACTAAGGGCTGTTGTGACTCCGACCCCCGAGGCCGATTTATCGGAGGGAGAAGGCTCCAAACATGAAGGAGAGGAGTTGGCCAGGCCTCCTTCTCCAGGACCCTCCTCTCTGGCAATGCCTCAGGTGTCTCCCGAGGGAGAAGAGATTGGCCAGGAGCCAGGTATCTCCTCACAGTCAGACAGTGACGGAGATAAGTCTTGGCTGGATCCACGCCAGCGTCAGAGAGACAAGCGTACGCAGCAGAAAAGGAGGCGTGCCAGAGATTAAGCTGAGTCACTGGACCACACCCCACAGGGGATATAAGGGAGTGAGGTGGCCATTCAGATTCTGTGATGGACAAAACTAACTACTAGCGAGTCACATTGTATCTTTACAACAACAATATCTGCCTTGGATTTAATATGGACTGGACTTGACAATTCTTGGAACTGTGTGTATCTTGTTTGGCTTTATCTGTCGGAGGAACAACCCTTCCCTTTATGGGTAAAGTTCTTGGCAAGCAGCTACTGGGTTGCTGCCAATCCTCTTATCGAAAGAATTTGTTGTCTGCCAGTTTTATTTAACCCCTGGATATTTGTTTGTGTGCATGTGTGAGACGGGGACAGAACAGGGGCAGCCTTTTAGAATTATTCCAGAAAGGTGTTTTGGAGTGGATACAGAGTGTAAATGTAGCCTTTGCCTGCAACTCTTTAAAGCAGCTAGGTCTCTTCTTGGTATTGTTGGAAGAAAAATCAGATCCAGTTCCAAGCCGGGAGAAAGACGCTGAAAATAAGTTGGATTCTGGAAAGGAGATAATTTAGTAGCCAGAAACTTCAATGACAGCAGCATATTTCTGGGGTGGCTGACAAAATGGGGCTGAGATAGGTGAGCTTTTATATATTCTTTGGGGGCCTTGTGATTGAGATGTCTGTTCCTGTGCAAGTACATGTCCTTTTAATATTCTAATGGCTGTTGTCACATTCTTATCGGGTCATGTAAGAGTAATGGCTGGCTCTACAGGCAAAACAGCTCCTAGCACCCTTGACTATTTGGTTGATGGGTGAGGTTGCTAGATTGCTGTTCAACTCCCACTCCACATTTCTTTTCCTTTCTCTTTTGCCCCTAGGTTTCCTTGTTCTGGTTGCCATGTCTCTGTTCACAGCCATTCTTAGGAGATCGCCAGGATACGCCCAACGTTTAGTAGTATTTGGTACATCCTTCAGCTTGGGCTGGGCCTCCATTCTTATGTATATTGTCACCGGTGAGTCATTTTCTTTTTAGAAGGCCTAGAAAGCCTAGATATTGATTTAATGTCATTATGTTTTTGACACTAGGGATGGTTTGAAGGACTTCACCATTCCTTCCAGTGGTGGGTTTCAAATTTTTTTATTACCGGTTCTGTGGGTGTGGCTTGGTGGGCATAGCATGGCTTGGTGGATGTGGCTTGGTGGGCATATCAGGGGAAGGATACTGTAAAATCTCCATTCCATCCCCAATCCAGGGGAAGGTTACTGCAAAATCCCCATTTCCTCCTGATCAGCTGGGACTTGGGAGGCAGAGAATAGATGGGGGCTGGGCCAGTCAGAATTTTTACTACCGGTTCTCCAAATTACTCAAAATGTCCACTACCGGTTCTCCAGAACTGGTCAGAACCTGCTGAAACCCACTTCTGGTTCCTTCCCTTCAGCCAAACTGGCTGGGGCAGTTGGGAGACGAAACCAGGGGTGCTATTCAGCAAGTTCTGACAGGTTCTGGAGAACCAGTAGCGGAAATTTTGAGTAGTTCAGAGAACCGGCAAATACCACCTCTGGCTGGCTCCAGAGTGAGGTGGGAATGGAGATTTTGCAATATCCTTTCTCCAGGAGTGAAGAGGGAATGGAGATTTTGCAGTATTTTCCCCTGCCACGCCCACCAAGCCACGCCACACCACACCGCACCCACCAAGCCACGCCCACAGAACCAAGTAAAAAAAAATTGAATTCCACCAACTGGATGATGCCCCAAATATCTGAATTTTCAAGACTTATAGATAGGTGTAGATAAGCATCAGGCAACATTTTAAAATCAATCAATTATATTACTATTTCTGGCTTTGACAGATGACTTATATGACTCGTTTTTATTTCCTTTCTCCCCCAGGTATTCTACTTTTGTTGACTGAAAAAACCATAATTTCTTAAGTCTAGGCATCTACCCTTCCACTGAGACTTTTGAAAAAGTCACCCATCGCACATTTGCTGGTTTCATAATCATGGAAACGATTATGCGCTGGAGCATTTAGCTGGGGCAAATGCAACCTTATTCTCTAGGTATATGAAGACAGTGTCCCATTTCTCCGATGTAATTGGACCATGATTTGCTACTATGAAGGGCCTTCAGCCAGTTCTTTCCCAGCTTGACAGGACATTGGCATGCAATATTTTATGATAGCTGGAAATGACCATGGCGTGCTATGACATCCCAGAAACTATGATCTGGGGGGAGGGAATCGGAGCTTGCTTCACCTTTAAATTGGAAACTGGGGTTTGGCTTCTAGTTCTGACTTGCAGCTAAGTAATGGTTCATGCTAATTTCACACATGTTGGGTATCATAAGGAAACAGAGAGGGCTGAATGAGAAGAGACAGATAAGAAGAAAGCACATGTGATGCTACTCCATGGCAGCCATTGTAAATAATACCTCATTTGTCTTCGTACACCTCAAAAAGATATCTTACAGCTATCTTGCGGCAGTGAGCCAAGGCAGACAATATTTCAGCCTTTCTCCAACTGAAAATCAATTAGACAATGCATAGGTTTGCCGAAGGAGCATTAGCTTCCGGTGTAAGTGAGTGAGTATATGGTGGTGTAACGAGGGCGGTAAAATGGACATCTTGAGGAGAACAGGGGTGTCCATTTTGCTTAGTTGTCTGAGGATCTGTGCAAAAGCATGGGAATCTGGCGTGTAAATATCTCTTTGTGGGGATCAGTTAACCTGTGGATTGTATTTGTCAGTGAAAACATATATGAATATGGTTTTGTTTGTTAGTTGTTGTCAATAAATACACTCCATCACTATGTATTTTGCCTCATGGTTGCCTAGCCTTTCTTGTTCCACCCAGATTTTCTTGAGATCTTTTTTAGATCACGCCTGTCTTGTTTGAAATCAAAGAAACAATATTTCAGTGCGTGCAGTGACTTGTTTCCCTCAAAAACAAACAAACAAACAAACAAAAAACCCAACTGGCATGGTGAGATATATAAAGGATTTGACTAGGGTGAAGAGATCCAGGTTAAATATTTGCTTAGTCAAAAAGTTCATGGGTGGTCATGAGGCATTCTTTACACAGACAACAACCGTAATTTGTTTTGGCTTAACGTCAGTGTCAACCCAGTCAGCTATGTTTTATTGAAGCGATCATGATTCATTAAACCATGTCTTGACATGTTAGATGGACCTAGTTGTTCTCTCTCTGACTTATTTCCTGTAATTGCTGGAAGGCCACAAAGGGCTGAAGTGAGAACCAGGCCCGCTGAGAGGATTATTAAGTGCTGGAACAAGACTAACATGGGACCCCCGCCCAACCGTACATGTGTGCGCGGCCTCCCCGCATGCCCACCGCGCATGCGTGTGTAGTCCCCAGGCACTTGCCCCGCCCTCTGCGCACGCGCGGCAGAGACCCGAAGACCATTTCCAACACGAATTAAGTGTGCGACATCCAAATTCAATAAATTACATAAATCACTGTTCACTGAGTTTCAGACTAATAAAGGTTATGTCAAACAAGGCTGCAAGGCGGTTTTGCTATACACACAAAGTATAGAGCCGTGATGGCGAACCTATGGCACGCATGCCACAAGTGGCACACAGAGCCATATTGGTGGACACGCGAGCTCAGCTCCGTTTTCAGGCCGCCTGGGCCCACCAGAAGTAGGGAAACAGGCTGTTTCCAGCCTCCAGAGGGCCTTGGGAGGTGGGGAAGGCCGTTTTCGCCCTCCAAAAGCTCCTAGAAAGGCTCTGGAACCTGGGGAGAGCAAAAAATGGGCCTTCCAGTCCCACCAGAAGTCAGCAAATGGGCTGTTTCCGGCCTCCAGAGGGCCTCCGGGAAGTGCGGGGGTTGTTTTCACCCTACCCAGGCTCCTAGAAAGGCTCTGGAGCCTGGGAAGGGTGAAAAAACAGGCCCACCATGCCATCGCGTGCCAAAAGCGGGAGGAGTGCGGGGGGTGTCATGTGCACATGTGCGGGAAGGCAGGGCGCATAGATTTATGGGTGTGGGCATGCACATGGATGACCCCCCCCAGTGCTCCCCCCGCTTTTGGCACGCGATGGCAAAAAGGTTAGCCATCACTGGTATAGAGTATGAAGTGTATATCTAATATCGTTTTTCTTTTTAAAAATTTGGGTTTGTAAAAATGTTTTTTTAAAAAAATGTCTCCTTCATGGGCCCCCTTTGAGCTCTATGGGCCCCGGAACAATGTACCGGCTGAACCCTCGTCTCCTCAGGCCTGGTAAGAACCAACAAATGCCATCATCCGCTCTGTAGAGAAGATGGGAAAGAAACATCATAAATAAAAGCACTTTTTTTCGTGCCTCATTTGAGTTGACTTCAAATACAGATGAAACGGATTAATATATTTAAGGCAATGGCGACGCCTGGCCTCAGACAAAATATTTTGGTTTCCTTCAACTGTAGGGTGAGTTCTGAAGAGATCGTGACGGTGGAGTAATCCATTCTTTAAATTGGTTTTAAGTACTCTTTTAAGTACAGGTGATCCTCGACTTACAACAGTTCATTTAACGAACATTCAAAGTTGCACTGAAAAAAGTGATTTATGACCGGTTTTCACACTTACGACCATAGCAACATCCCCGTGGTTATGTGATCAAAATTCAGACCATGGGCAACTGACTCCTATTTATGACGGTTGTAGTGTCCTGGGGTCACATGATCCACTTTTGCGACCTCCTGACAAGCAAAGTTAGTGGAGAAGCCAGATTCATTTAACAACGGTTGGACTAATTTAACAACTGCAGTGATTCACTTAACAACTTTGGCAAGAAAGGATGTGAAATGGGGCAAACTCACTTAACAAATGTTTCACTTAGCAACAGAAATTTGACAAGACAGTACTATTTCCTGATTGCCCTCTTCAAAAATCTCCTTCAATACTGTTATTGTTTAGCATCATTTTATGGGCCTGTGTATCTTTCCTCTAGCTAAAATGTCATCCCCTCTTGTGTTCAGTTTTCGAAATCATGAAGTTGCTTACATTTGTTATGTCTCAAAGAAACCAGAACAGGATCAATTTCCCACAAGAAGCTCTCTGCTCTTTATGATGGATTCTTACATCTTCCTGTACAGATTTCAATATTCCAATTTTATCTGTACTCTTAGTTCATTTATTGAACTTTCCGCTGTTTATTTCAGTTTTTTTTTTCAATTCCTTAGCTCATAACTAAAAATTTCTTTCATTCAGGATTGACTCATCTGCCATTTTCAAACTTGTCCCAATTGATGGAGGACCATTTTCCCTGTTGCTTCTCTGATTGGTTTAAGTTTCCACATGTAGAATTTTCCAAGAATCTGATTGGTCAAATGTTATGTTGCTTGGCAGTGACTGGATCAGCTGTAGTCTCCTAGGCAACTGGATATATTTCTGAAGGGGTTGATGCTTCTCCAGAGTCAACCCCCAACATAAATATGGTAGACAGGTATGACAACGGGACAACCCCTTATGGTAGGGAAAAAGGGAGGATGTGTAGAACGGACAGCATGCCATGGAATACACGAGGTATAAAGGCCATTTGAAGCTATCCAAGTTTGTGAATTGATGTGACAAATGAGATAGGGCATGATCTCATATTTCAAGCACCACTCTGTGACCATATAGCACCAATCTATCTTCTTATTCTTCTAGAACAGTGATGGCTAACCTTTTCTGGACCGAGTGCCCAAAGCGTGTGTGCAAATGCGCATGCACCCGAATCCCCAAAATGTGATACATGTGTGGCCCCTGTGTATGTGCCCCGTGCATGTGCGTGCAGCCCCCTGCATGTGTCCCACACCCCCGTGCATGCATGCACCCTCCTGCGTGCACTGTGCCCCTGCGCATGTGCCTGCAGCCCCCCGTGTGGGCCCTGCCCCCGTATGCACACATGCCCCCCGTATGTGCCCTGCCCCCTATGCATGCATGGCAGAGATCCGAAGATTATCAGTCATAACCGTCAGCCCAGGATTCTAACCTCGTGAGCCACCACTTTCCCTACAAATGTGGATAATGACTCACTTCTCTTCCTTCCTAGGACTATCTCAACCATATCGGTGTATTCTCAGACTAACTTTCGTTTCTTGATGCAACCCCTCTGGTTCAGCAGCCTGATTTTCTGCACTGCAAGTCTAATGTTGATGCTGGTAGCCTTGTTCACCCCTTACTGGGTGACCGAAAGTACGCCTCACGGTCTGCTTCATGGGGGTCTCTGGAGTATTTGCTTAGATCCAAATTGTGACTTTTATCCAGTTAACCTAGGTAAGACTTCTTGCTTTGAATATTGTGCAAACATTACGCAATATTATGCAAGCTCTCCGCTTCAAGTTCTCTCAAGGTCCCATTTTTGCCCTACACATATAAATACATTTATGTTACATCTGTTCTATGTCTGCTTTGGCTTATACATTTGCCATGGGACAAAGCCCTACAGAGAATGTTTTTTTACATTAGCAGGTATGGTGGCAACGAAGATATTGTTATTTCAAGGAGCTTAGTGACATATTTTAATTTCTCCTTCATATTAATAAAAACCTAGATGTTCAGAGCTCATTCTGAGCTAACATGCTTGGATATTTTTACTTATTTACTGAATACAGGTGGATGTGTGGATATTTGGGTTTTGTTAAGTATTTAGGAGTGAAGTGCAATATTTTCATGGAACAGGCGTGGAATTTTCTTTGTTACTTTTGCTGTTAGAATTTGCCATGAAAGCAATTTTGCTAAAATTGCTAACAAGAAAGCATCCTGCTGGGAACCCCACAAAGATACAACATAGAGCTTCACGGTTATTTTCCAACATATTTCTCCGGAGGTTTTGCTGATGGCAAAACTTAACCTGTTTTTGTGAAGGTAGGCTAAAGAGGGTCCATCCATCTTTGTACCATCGCTGCCTAATGCTTTTGTAATTTTCTTTCTCCTCGGCTCTTAGCATGGTTTGTCCACACTGCCAGGACTTTCCTGGTGCTCGGAACAATCTGTGGCTTCCTGGCTTGGTGCTGTGTCTCTTTTTCTTTTCTTCGTACCCAAGTCAGCTCAGTCTCCCTGGTCCTGCTCGCCTCTATCTTCAGCATCACAGCAGGTAACAGTGCTTGAGGTATCCTCCATTTTTATTTTACTGTATCGGTAGGCCCGTTCTTCTCTCTTGAAGGACCCTATTGCAAGGCTGAGGGAAAAGTGATTTAAGATGGGCCATAAAATGCCCTTCTTCATGTTGCACTTGTGCGGAATGATAACTGCTAATTTGGAAAACCTTATGAAGTGGATTGAGTGAATCCATGGGGTATTATTCTTGAGATGGTATTCGAAGGCATGCTGCCCTCAACTTGGATTAGCACTGGGTTACCTTGAAGAAGGGAACAGCATCGCTTTAAATACTACTTGAAAATGGGATATGATAGCAGTATTCCAGTATTTGAGAGACTGCCACGAAGAGGAAGGGGGTGGGGAGGTCAGTTTATTTTCCAAAGCACCAGAGGGCAAGACAAGAAATGATGGATGGAAACTAATCAAGGAGAGAAGCAATCGGGAATTAAGGAGAAGCTTCCTAACAGTGAGGACAATTAACCAGTGGAACAGAAGTTGCCTTCAGAAGTTGTGGGATGCTTCATCACTGGAGGTTTTTAAGAAGAGACTGGACAGTCACTTGTTTGAAATAGTGTAGGATTTCCTGCTTGAGCAGGGGGCTGGACTAGAAGACCTCTAAGGTCCTTTCCAGCTCTATTCTGATTCTGATTCTAATATTGCAGGATAACAAGGTGAAAGATATGTTTTCACGTCCTGTTTCTAAGTCCCTCACAATGGTTGGTCATGGTGATGTTAGACCACGATGAGCCTTTGCCTGTTCTGGCAGGGCTATTCTTTGGTTCTTATCCATGGGAGGCAGATTAGAGCTGTTAATTCCCTTGAGCCTTTGGGAAGTGACGTATTGGCACCCCAATTGGAGAATAATATCACTTCTGTTTGGACCACCATTTTCTTATTACTGATCAGTTTCTGTTCTGTGGTTTTGTGTCCTCTTGGTTAAGTTTTGTCAAGTTTGCTATAAGCCAGCCAGAATTGGTTGAGCTGGACACCTATGCAAATGTTTTTAAACAAATTAATATTATATGCAATGTTCTTTTGAAGCAAATTCCTTTGTTTTTCTTTTTTTCTCTCTTTCTCTCCTTCTCCTGTTTGGCCCTAGGTACTCTCTTCTTACTTGGCATGTGCATATTCACATATATATACAGGAACAGCAGGCCTTATACACAGCATTTAATTATCTTTGGGTCCTCCTACAGCTTGGCCTGGGCTTGCATTCCAATGTTCATCATAACAGGTGAGCCACGACATCCAACGGGGCTCATCTTGATGGCCATCTGCTTAGAGAGAATGTCCACCAAAGGAAAATACACAATATGCAGAATTCGAAAATAAATAATTTTTAACTATTGCAGGGAAGAAGAACAATACCAGCTATCTTAGCAGTGAACATTCATTTTCTAAAATAAGATCTTTAGGTACTATACAATTAGTTTAAAATGAAATAGGGGAAAAGAAAACAGATGTAAAAACAAAAAAGATATAGATAGCTGGATAGCTGGATGGATGGATGGATGGATGGATGGATGGATGGATGGATGGATGGATATATGATAGAGATAGTTAGTTAGTTAGTTAGTTAGTTAGTTAGTTAGTTAGTTAGTTGGTTGGTTGGTTGGTTGGTTGGTTGGTTGGTTGGTTGGTTGGTTGGATGGATGGATGGATGGATGGATGGATGGATGGATGGATGATAGATGATAGATGATAGATGATAGATGATAGATGGATGGATGGATGGATGGATGGATGGATGGATGATATAGATAGAAATAGACAGATAGATAGATGATTGATTGATTGATTGATAGAAATAGATGGATAGATAGATATAGAGATAGATAGATAGATAGATAGATAGATAGATAGATAGATAGATAGCTGGATGGATGGATGGATGGATGATAGATGATAGATGGATGGATGGATGGATGATATAGATAGATAAATAGACAGATAGATAGATGATTGATTGATTGATTGATAGAAATAGATGGATAGATAGATATAGAGATATAGAGATAGATAGATAGATAGATAGATAGATAGATAGATAGATAGATAGATAGATAGATGATAGATAGATAGATAGATAGATAGATAGATGAGAGAGATGCTTGATAGATAGACAGACAGATGGATGGATGGATGGATTAGATAGATAGATAATAGATGATAGATAGATAGATATAAAATGAACAAAAAAAAAGAAAGAAAACCAGCATTTTTTTAAAAAAAAATGCAGCTGGAATAAAATAAACATGATTAGGAGCTTTTTTTAAAAAAAAAATCAGCCAAGAATTCCACCAGGAGTGTATAGAGTGCAGGAGCACCAATATATGCTAAGCATTAATTTAGTAAAAGCTGAAGAAACACAAGGAAACCACTTAGCAACCAAAGCAAATATTTTAGCAGCAAACTCAGTCCGTGTTCAGTAACAGGATCCCTGGATTTCTTCTGGAAGCAAGTTTGCGTTCTATCCAAATGTTGCAATGGGAAGAAGGTACCAGAGCTTTGTGTGTGTGTGTGTGTGAGAGAGAGAGAAAGGAGTTACATCCCCAGTATGGGAACTTTACTCTTTGTAAACAATTAGAGCTAGTTTGGATGAGTCTCAGCTTGTCTGAAATTAACTTCTTTCTCTTTTCCCATCAGGTGCTTTACTGATGAAGACGCATCGTATTCTCTTCCAGTGATCCTGTCCAACTAGCCATGATAGTCACCAAGGAATGCTTCTGTATGATTTTCACCCCTTTGGTTGTCTTGGCTAGAAAGAACATAGCCTCATCCTAGGAATGAGGTCACAGTTACAATATTCCTGTGCCTTAGTTGGAAATATACTAAGTATGTCCTATGAACTTTTCTGTCTGTTCTCTAACTAAGTAGAGCTAAATCGAAGTCTGACAATTTAGAATATCCCATAACATTTTTTAACAGAATAAGGACCACTATTTTAAAGATTTAGCTTTCATTTCAAACAGGCCTTCAGCTAATCAAAGATTTTCCTTCTTCCTGTCTTGCAAGCGGGCACATCTAACCAGTTTCAGTTAGCTTTATTGATTAGCCTAGTATAGGCCATATCAAAGCACAAGGTGCAAACACATATCACCAATAAAATCTTATACAAACAATTTCAAATAAAAGTAGGGTAAAATACAATAGTTATAGGATAAGACACAAGATAATTTAATACATAAATACATAAAATAGCATAAAATGACATAAAATTATATTTCGGTGTTACCCTTACAATCTACCCCAATCAGGTCCCACATATGCAGATATCAACCGAAACATTTTGTTTAAGTCCGGTGCTGTGTTAAATGTTATTTTCAGGTTCTGGCCACACATAAAGTAAGTTGTTTTGATATGGGGATCCCAATGGGTCATTTCGTTTGCTTGTCTGTCATCTTCAGAGTCTTATCTAGTTTAGAAGCTGTGGGTGTGCGAGCTCCGACCTCGCAACACACCCACAGCTTCTAAACTAAGATAAGAGCCTGAAGATGACAGGGTTGTGAGCCTGTCGAAACATTGCTATAAAGAAAAAGTTTTAAGGTACTGGTAGGATTTTAGCTAAGGTTTTAAAGGACCTTGCAGAGTGCTCTGTAAGGATTTTTAGAAGATTTTAAGCTGGGATTTTAACCAGAATTTTAAACATTTTAACTTATTTAACATGACGCGGGAAAACACCCGAGATTTTAATTTTTTGCATATATATAGCAAGTTACTCACAACGACCAAAGGGGAGCTGAAAAAGAAATCATATTCCCCATTCCTCATATTGAGGAGTGGCTGAATAAGTTTCTTTTTCTTCTTTTTTATTTCATTTCTAGTTATGATGTCGACACCTTTCCAGCAGCAACTAGCAATGAATCAGGAATTCTAGATATAGAACAACTTCAAAAAGAACAATATAATACTGGACAAAATGACTCAGAATGACTTGAACAGGTTTTAGGGTTGGGGGTCCACACAGTCTAAGGGCTGGTTGGCCCCATGATAAACCCCTCCCCATCTGCATTCAAACTCCTAGTCTCTCCATCGTAGAACTCTCCATTTTGGGGGGGTAATTGTATAATGTTGTTTTATGTTTTTAAAATTTTTAATCTTGTCACTTGGTTTTTCATGTTTCAATTTATTAATTAAATTGTACGCCACCAAGAGCTCCTCTTTGAGAGAGATGGATGGTTAAGAAGTTTGATCTATGAATAAATTAGTAAAATGTTAATGGATTTTTTTGAATGAATTGAAAGGCATGGAAACTTAATTAATGAATAAAATTGATTTTGTAGATGCTAAATTCAATGGTTCAAACTGGAGTGACTCTTGCATTGGCTGATGTATGGCAATCGTTTTAAGATCTCAGAGAGCCAAGAATTAAGAAATACAACAGGAAACACATTGTAATATGGGTGGGGAAAGAACCTAGATATCAAGAGTCCCTTAAACTGTAAAGGAAGTGATAGTTCTCTGTTAACATATAGTTAGTTAACATATATAGATCTTCATTTCAGAGAGTTATCACCTGCAGGAAGGTCAAGGAACGGATTCTAAGCTGGTGAGACAGCATTTCTTTATTTCTTTAATCATTTAAGAATTGGCAAATTTTATTCTGAATGAGCTTCAAGAAGTACTGATGGGATCTAATTGTAAGCTTTTGAAATCAATATTTTACGCAAGACTCCTTCACTTAAGATTGTGGGGGAAGTTGCATATTTTTTTTCTGCTTGCTGAATAATACTTCTAAGTGCTATTTGTTCCATCACTAGTGAGGCTAATCGTGGCTCGATATATTAGGTCAAGATTCCTTGAGAAATCCTGAAGCTCGGATCTTCTTTAAGATGCTTGGCTTCTGAAAATGTTCGCTCATTTCTGATAAATTTGATCAGTCGTCCGTTTCAATGAAAGCACTCTGGGTTTTTGAATGAAAAATGTGCTAAATGTGCTAACATTGAAAATAAAAGGACACAGACTTCCAGTGGCAATCCATTGGAAAATGGATTGGATGTTTTTCAAATTAAGAAGGAAAGGCTGAGAGGTTTGAAGGAGTGTAACCAGGAAATATTGAGAGAGATTTCTCCAGAAGCTTTGATACAGACAACTGGAAAATTGTCAGGAGGTGTTGGGATCTCTAATATAAGAAGGAGGATTCGAAGTGGAATTTTACAACTTTTTTACAAAAATGGATTCTCAATCGCAATTAAAGAGGTGTGTTTAATGAAAGGAATTACTTTGCGAAGAGAAAAAGAAGATGGAGGAATAAGACTGAAGAAGAAGGTTCGCAAAAAAGTCAGGAAAAAATTGAGATGGAAAAATTACAATCTTTTTGCCTGGGGAGGATAGTAGTAGTGGAAATGAATGACTAGACCTGTATTTAGGAATATGATTTGTTTTGAAAAGTTATGTTATAGTGTAAATGAATGATTTACTTATATTTAGGGACATGATTTGTCTTGAAAAATTATATTAAGTAATGTTACGTTTGAATTGTTATGGGCTACTGACCAAACTTTCACTTTTGTCCTGAAGTATATTAACACTAAAGTTATATTTCAAGGAATGCTTTGCTGAAAAATTTATATAAGCTTATAAAGAATGTTTTGTTGAAGAATAAATATAAACTTGTGGGTTATAAGGAAAATATAAGTGGTGCAAGGGTTGAGGGAAGGTCTTTTACAATATTTTTTATAGATATCAAATAGTGAAGATGTTATTTGATTATAAGCAGTGGATTTGTAGAGAACAAGATGAATAAGTTTATGCAAAGCTATTAAGTAAGGAATGTTCCCAGGAAGAATCAATATGAGTTTATGGGGGTAAAAAGTATAAATAAGGTTTTTACAATATAATTTATTTAAGATTGGTTAAAATATTTTGTTAATGTGTTAATATATGTAAGGGTTGGAGATGTGATGGTTAATTGTAATTGGGTGCTGATTGTGCAATGCTGGAAGAAAGAAGACTTGCTTATTATTGAAGAACGGACAAGAATGAAGTTGGATTGATTATTTTCAAGCAATAATTGGTTTAAATAGTTATATTCAGATATGAGCAAGGGGAGTTAAAGTGCAAAAGGGAGAAAAATCTATAGATAGTTGGTTTTTTTATATGTTTGTTAAATGCTATAGCCTATATTTGCTCTGGGAAGTCCTGGGGGCGGGGGGGGGAGGGTTGGGGCAGGAGGGGGGAGGAGGGAAGGGAAAATATGTGTAAATTTTTTAAAAACTTTTTAATAAAAGAAATGAGCTATGAGAAAATGAGCTATTGAATCTGACAGCCAGAATTTGTGTAACAACTCTTTGAAATCCGTGGGGCTAAATCGAACTTCTTGAACAGAAATATTCAAAACACATTCTTTTTTTGGGGGGGGGGGGAATATCTTGATCTTTTTCTTTCTCTCCACTTCCTAGAAAAAAAAATATTAACTTTTCCTTAAATAAGGAATTATAAACTAACAATGTCCACTGCATATAAAGAAAATCAATATAAAATATTCTACAGATGGCATATGCCGTCTGAGAAATTGGCAAAAATGTTTAAAGATAAATCAGCTAAATGCTGGAAATGCCATCATTTGCCAGGTTCACATTATCATATGTGGTGGATGTAACCAGAAGCAAAGAACTATTGGAATAAAATTAAGTTATGGTTGGAGGAAATGATACAACAATGTATGATTTAAAAACAGAGCTGTTCCTACTGGGTAGCTTACCAGAGAAAATTAGTAAAGAAAATATATATTTGATTATACATGTAATAACAGCTGCAAGGATTATTTATGCACAAAATTGGAAAGCAGAGAATATACCATCAGAGGGAGAAGTAATTAAAAAAAAATTTAGATTGTGCAGAAATGGACAGATTAACTATGATGATAAAAGAAAGAGAAGATTCAGAATACTTTAAGATATGGAATCAATTTTACTATTGGTTAGAAAAGAGATATAAATAAGTTTTAATAGAGATAGATAAAAATGTTACAATTAGAATATTCATGGAAAATTTTTGTAATGGACTTGGCGAGAACGAAGATAGAAGAGTTAATAGAAAAGAAGAAGTTTTTGGAGATAAAACCGAGATATCACATGGAAGAAATGAACGATTTACTAAATGTTTGTCTTTAAAAAAAATAAAAAAATAAATAATGTTTTTCCTCTAGCCAGGTTTTCCCTACATAACCAAGGTTTTTCTGCAGAAGTAAGAATATATATATATATAGTCTTATGGGTCTTTATTTGAACAAAATATAGGATTGTATGTATGTGTGTGTGTGGGGGGAACCCTCTTGGTGGAAGGACAGGCTCAATTCAGACTGGAATGCTCCCTAAGAGACAATTGCTTTATTTTACAATGCATTGTGAAATACACATCTATTGGTAAGGAATTGTGGTGCACATGTGCAGCACATGTGCAGCAGCCCTGGGACATCCTCCAGCAGCACCGCTGCTGCCGCCACCCCTCTCAGCTCCAGCACAGCGCTCCATCTCCCCGAAGGGCTGCCTGCCCATGGGCCGGGCTGGAAAGCAGGCAAGCATGACAGGGCCACGGGGAAAGGAGCTAGCGAGCTGGGCGGCCCTGACATGCTTGCCTGCCTTCCTGGCAGTCCCCGTGGCCAGGCCCGCTTCCCTGCCTTCCTCCCCAACCATCGCCTCTTTGTTCGGCTGCTTACCTTCTGCAGAGGCTGGTCCAGAGTCGGGAAGACAAGCTGACTTGAGTTTTCTACAGCCCTCAGCCGGACGCCACTGCTGGAAAGCGGCTGGCCAGGAAGCCTCCAAAAAGGCTTCTTGGCCAGCCACTTTCTCCGCAGGCTGCCAAAAAGTACCGGTGGGAAAAGTTGCTGCCGTCGTCACCATATTCTTCATGCATGCACATCCCATTGGACTTACAAGGGAATGGGATGCACGTGCATGAAGAACATGGTGGCAATGAACATGCTGGCCGGGGTGAGCGAGCGGCGACTGAGGGACTGGTTTGGGGGCATGGCCAGCCAGCCATTACTACCAGTTCTGCGATCGACAACAGATTTTTACTACCAGTGCGAACCGGGAGCAAGCAACCACTTTACTAGGCCCAAAACGGGGCAACCTGGCACGTCCCTGTCCTCCCCGCGACCCATTTTTGCTCCCAGGGAGGTGCAGGAGGCGAAGTGCTGCCGGTCACACCCCTGGCCAGACCCACCATGGCCATGCCCCCCAGCCAGTCATTAGGGGAGAGAACCAGTTGTTAAATTATTTGAATCCCATCACTGCACATTTTCATGCTTTTGAACTGCTAGGTGAGCAGGAGGTAGGTTGCATGGCATTTCAGGTCTTGAACCTGGGCTGCCAGCTTTCCAGCCTAGTGTCTTAACCACTAAGCCACCACCTGGCTCTCAACAGCTCTCATTTTTCCCAGGGAGTTTACCGTGCACTAAAATCACACACAGACACACTCAAATTGTTAGCAGACAAAGTAATTAAGATGCGTTATCATAAATGATCAAAGTAATGAACAACATAATGAATAACATAAAATTAATGTCCTCCAGTTCCATCCTAGATCTCTTGACCAGTGGCAGACCAGTGCATCCCATAGAAATGAGTGCCCTGCATATTGGTGCTGGAGTGTGTTCCTGCATCAGCCTTCTGTGCCTGCTCCTTGCCTTGGGCTCAGACTATTGGATAGCAGATTCCGGACTACATATAGGTCTATGGAAATATTGTGAACATGAATTATGTAACTCACTTGGTGTGGAAGGGGTGTCAGGTAAGATTCAATATTCCAAATGCATCACTCACCTGAAAGGCCCAGGAGCCTCCGCCTTGAATTCTTATCTTGTGTCTGCATTGGCTCCCTACAGCTTCTTTTCATGCCATCCGAACCTTCATGTTCCTGGGGATGATCTCTGGAGCTGTCTCTCTCGGTGGGCTTTGCACCATGAATAGGCAACCCAGTCTTGGCAATATCTCCATGAGCCAGATCACATATATTGCCAGCTTTACTGCAGGTAAGAACGTTTACAAGAGTCTTTTCCCAGATATGGTTTTTTTGTGTGGCTTAGTTCAAACACTTTCACTACTAGTGTGTGTGTGTCTCTGTGTGTCTCTGTGTATTATAGTACTGTACTAGACTAGACTAGACTAGTGTTCTGACTCAGCCTTAGCAGAAGCAAGAAACGGACTCTTTGTCATGAAAAATCCCTTTTATTTACCTTTTGTGAATTAATTGCCTTCACCCACCAAAAACTTCAGTCCTGCAAGGAGTTAACTGCAGCAATAGGCCTTATCAGTTCATTCAGTGCAAGGCTGTGAGCTCCCAGCCGAAAGGCTACAACTTAAGTTCTGGCAAGGAGTCTTTGTTGCATGAAACACAATGAGCAAAATCTCTAGGAATACGAACCCTTTCCTTCTATTTATTCCCCAGCCAGGGAGGGACCATTCAGCGTCCACGTTTGCTTTGCTTCCTGAGTCAACTCCTTGTTCTCCCTTGTTCACCTCTCCTAACTGCTCTGCGCATACGTGCATCTGGAACAGGCCCCAGCTGTTCTTCCTCCTCACTCATCTCAGCCTCCAAAGGCAGCTGCCTCTCCCGTGGCTGGGAAATGTCGGATGGCCCTGGCTCTATCTCTGTGTCAGACTCTGAGCATCCATCACAGCCTTCCCCAGGCTCCAGAAGTGGCCCACGTTCTTCCCCAACCTCCTCATTGACCAAGTCTGCCTCAAGCTCCGCTGGCAGCTGGCGGGCCACAACAACGAGTCAGGGTGGCACAGTGGTTAGAATGCAGTATCGCAGGCTAATTCTGCCAACTGCCAGCAGTTTGATCCTGACGGGCTCAAGGTTGACTCAGCCTTTAATCTTTCCGAGATCAATAAAATGAGGATCCAGATTGTTGAGGGCAATATGCTGACTCTGTAAGCTGCTTAGAGAGGGCTGTCAAGCACTATGAAGGGTTAAATAAGTCCAAGTGCTATTTGAAACTTCCACTTTATCAAGTGATCTAAAAAAAATCACCCATAGTGTAATTCCTATTTCTATATTTTGCCTGTTTTTGAAGTTCATTTCAGTTCAAGTTTTCTGAGGAAGGTTCAAATAGCAATAGCACTTAGAGTTATATATCGCTTCACAGTGCTTTACATCCCTCTCTAAGCAGTTTTAAAAGAACTCTTTATCAAGTGATTAAAACACCCATACTGTCATTCCTAATTCTATATTCTGCCTGCTTTTGAAGTTCATTTCTTCATATGTTTTAGCCATTAAAAAAAAAAAAAGAATTGTAATATTACATACCATCTCAGAAAATAGTAGAACCTATCTGCTGTTGGATGATCTCAAACATCTAAGCAATATTTAACCTGCCTAATACATGAATGGGAAACCACCCCAAAATCTCAGAGATGTAGGCTAGACAGGGAAGTTGAAAAGGCATCCCAAAATAATGGACACGGCTGTGTCTAAATTGATGATGATGATACAATCAGAAAGGTACAAGGCAGTGTACAAACTTAAAGCATCAAAACAACAGCAATAACCACAAGCCCAAATATAGACATTTGAGTTTTGGGAAATTGTATAATTGCAGTTGTTTCTACAATCTGTCATCAACCAGACAGGATTACCCCATCCTCTGGCCCATTGGTAAAATTCGCACAGTTCTATCCAGCTCACCAAACCGGTAGCACCGGAAGGCTCTGCCCATTCACCGGGATGTCATTACATCCCATTTTTTTACCCTCTGTGCATGCTCCTGCACACTCCTGTTCCTGAACTGGTAGTGAAGGTAAGTGCATTTCACCACTGCTCTGGCCCTCTTGAAAACTATTGATGATACAATCAGAAAGGTACAAGGCAGTGGATCAGGGATGGGTGCTACTTACCTTTACTACCGGTTCGCAACGGAATCGCATGCGCAAATCACCGATGACGACATCCGGGGCAGTGGGCGGGGCCTCCCGCAGGTTTTAGTACCAGTTCTTGCGAACCGATCCGAACCAGGGGCAACTCACCATTTCAGTGGATGCAATTCACTGTTAGAGCAGATTTGTGAATAGAAAAATATGAAACCGAGATGGGGTGGGGGAGGCAAATTAATCCAACCTTCCCTATGCCAGTTTCTGAATTTGGAGGAAATATGAAATACTATTCTAATGCAATAAGAATCCCAAGAGGCTGTTGACTTCTTTGTAATGAGAGCAGAAAAGGCCATTGATGTCTTCCATACTTCTGAAGGAAATGTTTCTACCTCTACCTCTCCCTTGATTTTCAGGCCTCTGCGTCATGATTGCCATGTCCATTTTCTCAGGAGGGATTGGTTCCACCAAGCTATATGGATGGTCTTTCGGCTTGGGTTGGGCCTCTTTTCCTTTGTACCTTCTAACTGGTAAGGATCTTTTTTTGGATACCCTGGTGAGATTTTTTTAAAATATACATCTTTATGCATTCTGTATATTTTCACAACTGTGAAATTTATTTCATTTTGTGTTGGGAACTAAGCACATTTCCCTGGCAGAAGAGGATTCAGCAAAGTTTAAACATCCAAACATCTTATATATTGTTCTGTCCCCCTTCCCCACACAGGCAAACACACAACCAGGCACGCCTGCCAAGATTTTATTAAGCAATCAGACTAGACACCCTTGCACATAAGAGTTTTGGCAGTAAACTGCGAAATGCCTGCCAAGTCAGTTTTCACTCACAGTCAGCAAGAGAGAGTTTATCCTCTGTCCGGTTCAGTAGCAAAAAGTAATCCATGAAACAAGAGTTAGCCAAGGTCCAATCCAAATATGCCAGATTTCAGGTAATGCGATGTGACTCTCAGGTTTTTAACTTTGACCGTCACAAAGCCTGAAGAGCAATCACACCCACTTTTATTCCTTATGGGTTGTGGCTCAGTGACTCAGCTCAATCTCTGGCCCTCCCATGCCTCTTTCGTTGCTGCACACGCTTCTCCCTCTGACGCTGCCTGGGATCAAGCCAGGATTCAACATCCTCGCTCCCTATCTGTTGTTGTTCCAATATGCTTTCCTCCTGGCATATCCCAGGCTGTTCCTCTTGGCCTTCGGATGGAACCTGAGGCATTGCCAGAGAGGAGGGTCCTGGAGAGGGAGGCCTTATCAGTTCCTCCCCATCACCTTCTGAGTCCTCTTCCTCTGTTAGGACAGGCTCAGGAGTCGGGGTCACAACATGTATCCTGTATTACAGTTTATCCAATCCCTTGCTTGGTTGGGACCAAAAAGATTTGAAGTTCCAGACATTTAGGAAACACTAGTTTACCTCTATACCTGACATTAAGATTGTGCGCAGTTATTAGCAATAGATCTATTCTGGACCATTGATTTTTAAGGATTAGAGTTTGGTCATAAACAGATGAATAAAGAGATGAGGTTGAGTTCAGAACTCCATAGATTCCTGGTTATTTATTTTTTTAAAAATTCTACTTCATCTGCTGGGTGGCTAATCCATTATTTTTCCCTTCGGACAGGTGGTCTTACTTATAAATTGCATAAGAACAGAGCATCAACAGCATAGGAGAAATATGACACTGTCTTTGGAGATGACCAGTGAAGCTGCATTGGTAACCTGGAGGCACAGATCAGAATTATTGGCCCTGCACCAAATTTATAAGATGATGAAGGCAGAAGAATTAGTTTAGCCATACATTCCCATCCCCTGCCCATCCCATTTTTCTCTAAAATATCCAGATTGTTTCTTTCTGAAGTCCATTGGGATTTGCAAATGTGAAGAACTTTGGGAGACTCCTGCAAGAAGGTCCCAGAAAGCAAGAATTCTACTCTTCTCCCTTCTTTCCTCCTTCCAGGAAACCAAAGGTGCTTTTTGGTTTATCTGTGGTCTCCAAGGTCCACACTTGGGGTCTGCAACCTTAAACACTCAAAGTGGCATTTGTACCCGTTTCCCACAGAAAAAAAAAAAACACCGGGAGCCACAAAACCTGGGTGGGCGTGGCCAACTCAACATCACTCACTTCCACCAGTCACATGACCTCCTAGCCATGCCTACCCAGCCGGTCATTAGGGCAGAGAACCGGTTGTTAAAAAAACACCGGGAACCACAAAACCCATTTGACATCTCTCTCTCTCCCTCCCTCCCTCCTTCCTTCCCTCCTTCTCTCCCCCCTCTCTTTCCCTCTCTCCCCCCTCTCTGTCTCTCTCTCCCCCTCTCTCTGACCCGCCCGCTTCTCCATCCCCTGCCGTAGCCCTTACATTCTCAGGCCAGGCGAGGAGTGACTGGAAGGGGAGGGTGAGGGGCGGGGCCAGCCAGTGGTGGGATCACCCGACAGGGAGCCACAGCAGAGGGTCCAAAGAGCCGCATGCAGCTCCGGAGCCACAGGTTGCTGACATCTGGTCCACACCCATTTGCACTATTCAGATGACCCAGAAGGCAAAGATAAATTTCCAGGTGGCCTCCATGACTTTCAGAAAGAGTACTAACGACCAGATGACTGCAAGGAATATAATCCTTTCTCTCCTCCACCATTCAATCAGAACTGAAGAAGCGTCTTGGATGAGAAGTGAAACATCTTCAAGGGGGAAGAAAAAGTCCAATTGCCTTTTGTAAAAAGCACCTTTGGAATAACCCTGAGCTGGATGACTGAGAATCTCTATAGATTCTTTCAGGAAAGTTGATTTCCATTCTGCCCAAGGGAAAAGAAAAAAGAAAATTAATTTTCTTCCTGCCAAAAGAAATAGGATGGAATTATCCCTGCCATGCCTTCTCTTCTTCCTCTGATGGGGATCAAGAATTCTCTGGATAAAACCCCCCAACCTCACCTTCGTTGCATCTCAGATTTCCCCCTTTTCTATATCGTACCTTTAAAATTTTTATTTCCTAGAAATCAGAGTTTTTGCATTTTAGGATAAGGAACTCTAAAGAATTGTATAACTTGTGGCATACGCTCTCAGGCTTTGGCATTTATAATTGTATCTGTATAAATCAGCTCTTCCTCAACATCATATCTGTATAATCACCTGTTCTTCAACAGAGTCTTTAGGTCTGAAAATATTTGGAGAGGAAAATGATATTTCCAATTCAATTGAATTTATGCAATTTGAACTACTTTCAAATATGGTTTTTGTATCAATGACTGAACTTTTTATCTCTAAACATGTGCAAAATATATTCTCCAATAAAAAGGCACAAATATTTGCAGTGTTTTGTGAGAGTTTCAATGGAGAAGGGAAACTTGATTGGAGTTGGATGCCAACTATGTCAGCTACCCCTCAGCACCACTGAAATTAATGAGAACTAAGTAATCACTCATTTTCAGTGAGTTAGGGACTTATTTGTAACTTAGTGAGTCCAACATAGAATTTAAGACTCTGATAAGTAACAAAGCTAAGACTTCAATCACCATAAATAAGGGCTGTTAAATATAAAATGTGTTCAGTAGCCAATGTTTGAATAAATAAGGAGAAGGAAATGGATATAAAGAAAACTTTATTTTGATCACAGACTAAAATGCCTAGGACCAGCTGAATGTCACTCATGGTTTACCATAAAATATAAGGAGGGAGAGCCAGTTCGGTGTAGCGGTTAAAGCATCAGACTGGAAACCAGGAGACTGTGAGTTCTAGTCTGGCCTTAAGCAAAAAGCCAACTGGGTGACTTCAGGCCATCCGTTTTCTCTCAGCTCTAGGAAGGAAGCACTTGTGAAACATCTTCCCAAGAAAACTGCAGGGACCTATAGAGACAGTTTCTGAGAATCAGATATGATTGAATGGATTAGATCTGGAAGGGACCTTGGAGGTCTTCTAGCCCAACCCCTTGCTCAAACAGGAGACCCTATACCATTCCAGACAAGTGGCTGTCCAGTCCCTTCTTAAAAGCCTCCAGTGATGAAGCACCTACAACTTCTGGAGGCAAGTTGTTCCACTGGTTAATTGTCCTCACTGTTAGGAAGTTTCTCCTCAATTCCAGGTTGCTTCTCTCCTTGATTAGTTTCCATCCATTGTTTCTTGTTTCGCCCTCTGGTGCTATTTTTCTACTTGCATTTTTTACGTGCTTTCAAACTGCTAAATTGGCAGAAGCTGGGACAAATAATGGGAGCTCACCCCATTATGCGGCACTAGGGATTCAAACCGCTGAACTGCTGACCTTCTGATCGACAAGCTCAGTGTCTTAGCCGCTGAGCCACCACATCCCCTAGAGACACCCTACTACACCCCCAAGAAAGAAAGAAAGAAAGAAAGAAAGAAAGAAAGAAAGAAAGAAAGAAAGAAAGAAAGAAAGAAAGAAAGAAGGGAGGGAGGGAGGGAGGGAGGGAGGGAGGGAGGGAGAGAGGGAGGGAGGAAGGGTAACCCTTTTGCATTCCACCAGGGGGCAGCACAATGCTGAAGGCCTGGTCCTTGCATTAATAGACCAAGGATTTGAGGCAGCTTTCAAAGGCGCTACATCACCATTGCTGAAAAATGACATGGAAATGCCCATCTGATCAACTTTTGCAAATAAATTGAGAAGAACCAAAGAATCTTGACTCAGTTCCAGAAAATAGACCTGAAGCAATCAAAGAGAACAAGAATCGGTCATTGGGACCTAGCTCCCAAAAATATTAAAGGTAAAGGTTCCCCTGACACATATGTGCTAGTTGTTCCTGACTCTAGGGGGTGGTGCTCATCTCCGTTTCAAAGCTGAAGAGCCAGCCCTGTCTGAAGACATTTCCGTGGTCATGTGACCGGCATGACTCAACGCCAAAGTAAGCCCCGCCTACTTTCTCCTTGATCTCTAAACCACGATAATAAATCTTGAGCATATAATGACACTCACTGTACTTTGTTCCAAGCCTTTCATAGCTCTTAATCTGACACGCTCTGTTACCTGTGATATTATTCCACCTATTATTTCATCCTTCACCTGAGGTTCCTTGAGGTGTCTTATCTCGGAGTTGAAGCAAAAACTGAAGCTCAATTTCCTAGAGTTTCCTGAATCAGGAATACTGACAATGTGGTGGCCGCTACTTCTCCTAAAGATCTCCAGCCCTATTCTTCTGACGCTGGCTTCTGCGCTTTTGTTCACTGGCATATTCACCGAAAACTGGGTTGTTGTCATTACTCCTCTGGGAATATACCATGAAAACTTGTGGAAATCTTGCATTGAGTCAACCTGCTTTTCTTTGGATCGGGATTGGGGTAAGCTGTTTGTCAGGATGCAGCATGTGACGCATCTGGGCCACTACCTTACCTGAGGTTGCTAGTTTCTTTGAAGATCTAGGTTCATAGTTCTCTTGGGAAATGACTCTGCTTCCAGAGCTGCTTCTCGTTTGCCACTGAAAATGGTTAACAATACGAACAGGATAGGATAGGATAGGATAGAATAGGTTAGGATAGGATAAGTTAGGATAGGATAGGATAGGATAGGATAGGATAGGATAGGATAGGATAGGATAGGATAGGATAGGATAGGATAGGAGCTGGAAGGGATCTTGGAGATCTTCTCCCCTTGCTCAAGCAGGAGAACTTACACTATTTCAGATAAATGGCTGTCCAATCTCTTCTTAAAAACCTCCAGCAGTGAAGCACCTACAACCTCAGGTGGCAAGCTGTTCCACTGGTTAATTGTCCTCACTGTTAGGAAGTTTCCCCTTAATTCCAGGTTGCTTCTCTCTTTGATTAGTTTCCAACCATTGTTTCTTGTCCTGCCTTCTGGTACTTTGGAAAATAATTTAAACCCCCACCCCCACCTTCTTTGTGGGAGCCTCTCAAATACTGGAATCCTGCTATCATGTCACCCCCTCCCCCAGTCCTTCTTATCTCTAGATTAGCCAGACCCAAATCCTGCAGCTGTTCTTCATATGGTTTAGTCTCCAAGGCTTTGATCATCTTAGTTGCCCAATTAATTGCCCACAAATCTTTTAGTTGGCCACATTTAGAAAAGTATTTTGAAAAGGGCTGGGTAGTCCTCCCCCAATCCTTTAAAGTTTTGAGAAGCTGATGACCAAAAGATGAATATCTAGAATGCTTTGTGTTTAAGATTTGAGGGTGATGTTTATATGAAGTTAAACCTGAAAAATTTGGGGATATTTATATTAATGGATGGCTTCAACTGTTTTCAAATTAAATCTTAAACTATATCCTGTCTCTCTGGATATGAGAGTCTGGTCACACCCACTTTTTCTTCTTCAGCTCATTCATCGTTTCTCTTCTCGGCGTCTCTTTTTCTTGAAACATTTTTGAGGAAATTTTATTCCTGCTTTTCTAACCAACCGTTGAAAATAAAACTTAAGGCTATTAAACATTGGGAAAAATAACACAGCGGTTGGATTTTCACAACGTATTAGACTTAAGGCTTTGATGGCAAATCTTTTCTCCTCGGCCTTTCAAAACTTCGACAAATGTGTCACTTGACTTTGCTGGGTTATCACACTCCCCACCACACACACAAAAGTGAAACAATTATTCACATATTATCTTTTCTTTCTTTCTTTTTTTAAAAATGGTGGACAAATGGAAGCAGCACCAGGTTGGGTGGGGTTTTCTTTCTTGAAGCGGCTTAAGAGAATGCTCTTTTGCTGCCTGCGCAACCTGCAAAAATCGTATGAAAACAGATACCATATTTAGGGGATTTTTGGAAGCTCTGTGACACAGAACACACTCTCACACACACACATTATAACATGGTCTCCGCAGCCTCTGCAAATCACGCAAGACCAAGGCATGTTTTTAAGAATATTTGTGTTGTTTGGTATTGGTGAATGCTATCATGCCACCCAAAAAATCCTGGCATGTCACCTTTGATAATATCTTGCGCCCGTCGGAGTCTGAATCTGAGACAGAAGATGAACAGCTGACAGAGAGCGGGAGAGTGGCTCAGTTGGGTGTGGAGGAAACTGGGGAAGGGCAAAGTCAGGCTGGGCAGAGCAGGGGAGAGGTAGAACGGGGAGAGGGGGTTCAGATGAAGACCAAGGCCCACCTCCTCCTCATCCTAGGGGGCACAGGGAAGAATGCAGAAGTGAGTAACATGGGTTGGGTGGTTTACGGGGAAGGAAAGGGCCCCAGTTCTCTTCACAAGGCACACCTGGGGATGGAGTTCAAAGGAGAGGCAGTTGGGAAGGGCGTTTGTCGGGAACAAAAAGAGCCTTGGTAGTACAGTGGTCTAAAGCACCCTGTTATTAACACAGCTGCCTGCAACTACTGCAGGTTCGAACCTTACCAGGCTCAAGGTTGACTCAGCCTTCCATCCTTTCTAAGGTAGGTTAAATGAGGACCCAGTTTATGGGGACAATAAACTGACTTTGTATAAATATACAAAAGTATGAAGGCTATTGCTTAATGCATTGTAAGCCGCCCTGAGTCTCCGGAGAACGGCAGCATATAAGTCAAATTAAAAACAAAACAAAACGCTGAATTCATCTAGTATTGAGAGTTGCGGCCTTCATTCCTGGCATTCCTCCTGACAGTTTGAATTAGAAACGTGCTTCTGTGTGCTTAATTTGTCTTGCTAGAATTATTCTTGGCTTCCTGGCCTTATCATTATCCTGCCCTGCTGGAGTGATTGATTGTAGTCATTCTGACTACAGCGCTTGGACAGGAGTAGCTGCAGCCGGAAGCTGCTGCAGGTTTGTGGGAGAGCTTTTTTCCAGGCCGGAGAGTAAAAGGGACATTGGGGGCAAAGTTGGTGCCAATAAAGGGACTCATACCGGTTCTCTGGCTGTGTTGCTTTCATGCCACGCCCCAAGTCATCACAGATACGTGTATCATAGCTTCCCCCATGCCTGGATTAGAAACTGGCATTGTGTGATCTAAGCTGTTGTCAAAACCCTATCATTAGCCACGAGGTATAGCCACCGTAAGGATGAGCTATTGGGCATAAGCCATAATGTCAGCTAGCAACTGTACAGGTAGTCCTTGACTTACAACAGTTCATTTAGTGACATTTCAAAGGTGCACCAGCACTGAAAAAAGTAACTTATGACCGTTGTTCACACTTATGACTGTTCCAGTATGCCCATGTTTTTCATGCGATCAAAATTCAGATGCTTGGCAACTGACTCATATTTATGGTGGCTTGCGGTATTCCTGGATCTTCTGACAAACAAAGTCAACAGGGAAACCAGATTCACTTAACAAGGACAGTGTTTCATGTAACAACTCTGGCAGGAGAACTCGTAAAATAGGGCAGAATTCGCTTGGCAACTTTCTCACACAACA